CAAAAGACAACGCCGGGTCGTCCGGAAAGTCGGACGGTCAAGCCACATCAAGCTTGGCGCCTACGTCGAAACTCCCGCTGGCACATCACGGATCACGGCTAACGAGACCCCCGAAGCAGTCTAAACCAGGGGCGGATCACAACCTTCCCCCTGCGCCACCTATAAGAATGCGCTGCAAACATTACACGACCCCTAACCCCCTGTCCTTCATACGGTCCAAACGGTCCAGAAGGCCAGAAGCAGTGTGGCTGAGTGCAGCACCACCACCGCCAACAATGGCGTGCGTTGGTGTGATGTGTCGCGCGTTTCGTTTCGTATATCCCTCTTTTTCTTTGCTGCCACTGCCCCAGCTTGCTTGCCTTAGTGCCTTGACTCCCAGTTCGAGCGCGCGGTTTTTCTGGGCTTAGACATAGTTTAGCGAAGGTAGCTTGGACAAGCTTCGCGCCTGTTTAGAGAGAAAAAGCACGACTTGTGGGCGGTGTTCGAGACTGTCCTGACTGGTGGTGCCGTGTAAGCGGAGTAGCGAGCGGCTTTACTGCACGTTTTTAGTATATGAGCTTGCGGAGCCCGCGTTTGCGCTGACCCTTCTTGGTTTTTAGGTATCGTCTCTTTGCATCGTCGAGTTTTGTTGCAGCATTGTTGAGCGCTTTCACGTTTCTTTCTTCTTGTTCATTGCTGATGGCTAGGTGACACTCGTTCGCTATTCTTTTCACATTTACTAGCCGTCGATCAACCGTGATCCTTTTACATATTCACATCCTCGTTTAATTATTCGGATACTGTCACTACATCTGCGATACGAAATTCGAAGCATACCGAACGCCATGTCATACCTTCCGCCACTAGGAGCCTTGCTCCTGCCTCTTACGGCACTACTCGCCCAGTCTGCACTCGCTGCCAACCCGTATACCAGCTCCATGAACGAGGCACCCAAGGACAACAACCCAGACTGCGACTGCTATGTCGTCCAGTCCGGCAAAGACTCGCAAACGCCAGAGTACTTCCAGTACTACCGTTTCTACGACTTTCGAAACCTCCCAGGCGCAATGAGCGAGTCACCACCGCTCCTCAAAGACAGTCAGATCGCGGGTATGGCAAACACATGGCAGCCAGATCTGTTCAACAGCGATGCTTGGAACTACGATTGGGGCATCCAGAACTGGACCAAGCCCGCCACCGAAGACTTCCCCGTACCGATGAACAACTCCTTCGCGAACATCTTCCTCGGTGAAGAAGACTCCACATCATACCTCGCACTACGAACATCGCGTCTGGATGACTACCAGACGGCTGGAGAGATTGAGAACCAGCAGAAGAACCTCATGCACGTTTCGATGCGCATGTACGGTCGTGTTCAGGGTGCCAAGGGAGCAGTGGCAGGATTCTTCACCTTCTTCGACGACGACAACGAGTCCGATATCGAGATCCTGACCGACGATCCTAAAGATCAGATTCGCTACACGAACCAGCCTTCCGTAGGCGAGGATGGCAACGAAGTCGCTGCTGCGTCCGTTGGCCCCACCGACCTCCCCCGCTGGGACGAATGGCAAACACACCGCATCGACTGGCTGCCCAAGAACAGCTACTGGTACCTCAACCAGAAGCAAGTCGCCGCAAACACATACTCCGTGCCCCGCGAGCAGAGCTTTCTGGTCCTGAACATGTGGGGTGATGGTGGAGAGTGGAGTGGCGAGATGGATGTGGGCGATAGTGCTGAATTCCACATTCAGTGGATCGAGATGACGTTCAATACCAGTGGACCATATGAAGGAAAAAGCCAGGAGAACAAGAGAGATAAAACCAGTTTGTTTGGAAGGAAGAGAGCGGAGAAGGGATGCAAAACCGTGTGCAAGATCGATGACGTAAAAGAAGTCGGCACGCCTGAGATTGAGAGCGGTGCGATGGGAATGAGCGTTTCTTGGGGGCTGTTGGTTGTTGTTGGTCTTGTGTCCGTCGTTGTCGGGATGTAGAGACTAGATGTGCATGAATGACTGTAATATACCCAAGTCTATATAAATAGCTGCCTACTGTGAAAAAACGTAATTAGGAGATACACCTGCATTGCTATGATATACCATGTTACTCAACTGCATTATGCCCGCATTTTTGCTCCAGCACGTCCAAAAAAAGCAATGCCCAAGTCTATCCCGTGAACAAGTTTACATCTTAATCCCAATAATTAGGTGGGGGCAGACGTCTCCAATAGCCGTGATCCATATCATCTTGCATCTCCTCTGGGGCTTTGCGAGGTACTTCGCATGTACCAGCTTCAACGCAATATCGCCGACCATCTGGGTGATCCACATCTGATCTTCTGCAGTAAACCAGCGGTGATGGTTGTGGTGGCGAATATCGTATGTTGTTATACTTTATGAAATCTTCAAATCCAAGATCTGCAAACTCTATACTGGCTTAGCATTCCAGATTGGGTATCAGAACATGATTAGTTGTCACTTACCAGACGTGCTGTAGGCTATTCGCACAGTGACTGTAAACTCGATGGGACCTGCACGCCACAACGCGGCCTCACGAAGGCGTATCAGGGATCTGACGTGGTTGATGATAGTGCACCCATAACCGGAGAACGGTTGATACCAATGGACATGTATACTCTTCAAATGAGGGAATTGCCCGCTTCGAATGGCTTCAAACAAACCTTCAAAGTATGGCCACGTATGTAACGACCATGCTCTGCAGGGCTCATCAAGCCATAGGTGCTCAAGTGAGTCGGGAATAGCATCTTTGAGCATCGGTGATATTGCCATAGACCACGGACGTGGGTGATCGTAGCCGAGAAGGATGTACGGATTTGCTCGCAGGAAGGTTAGCGAGCTCAGGAGCCTGCCCATGCGGAATTTGCCTGGGTTCTGAAAGAGCGTGCGCCCAACTAGTGCCAACTGATCTCCAAGTGACAAGCTGACGAGAGTCTCTACGTGTGCTAACAGGGCCACGCCGACGTCTTCATAAAAAGTGTCGTCGCAGGGTGGCCTTCCATATGGTGATACCACTTCGAATTCGGTGAGCTCCTTGCAAGCAAGGAGCATCTTCGCGACTATGGAACCGCTGAAGTGCGGGGACAGTAACGATAGCTTGGTAATGGACGACGTGCGATCAGGCCACACCCAAGGCTCTCCCATGAATGCGGAGTCGTCAGTATCTGGCCCAACAGCCCACGGGCGTCCGAGATCAGTCTCACCACAATTGCCGATGGTTAGATCGGTCAAGCTTGGAAGACGAAATAAAGGTAGCGCATTACGGACCGGCCACTCGATACCGCTTTGGTATGCATCGAGATGAAGGACTTTGAGCCTTTCGAATCCACCCTCGTTGGCGCTATGGACAATGCTGTTGAGCAAGAAACTTGAGCTGCCCTCGTCCAGTTGTGATTTTGGGAGGCGGAGCCAAAGCCGTTCCAGATTGCATGCAGCAAGAATACACGGGGTAAGTAGTACATCTTCTCCCAAGATAGCGCGCTCAAGAAGGTCGTGGTCAGAGGCATGTGCCTGACTGCTATTCATAGCCGGGATGAGTTCGCCGAGCCACTCGTAGCCTTCTGGCGTGTATTCTGGTACGTCGCTCACCCCTTTGTCAACATCACTTCCATCGCCATCCAGCATCTTCTGATGCCGTCTCTGATAGCGAATGCATTTTGCATCGTAAGTCGCACGTTCCTCGACCTCTTCGTCATCGAGCTCGTTCTCGGGTCGCAGGTTATGCCCCGCCCAAAAATCGCCTACCTCGAAACCGTCCTCCATCTTCAGTCTCAGGTTCTTGATGTACCCACAAAGTTCCACGTTCTTCAGAAGAGTACGTGGTAGCTGACGAAAGGCCTCGCTATTCATGTCGCCATCCCGCTCGATCGATTCGTAGATGAGCGATCTCGCGACATCTCTGAAGCTTCGGCAGACGCGACACAATGCCAGGAGGTCTCGCGAAGGAGCGGGTACACGTGGCGCAGAGAAGCATGTTATCGGCGTGTGCAGGAGACTGAAGATTTGGAGGAGCAGCTCGTTCGGAAACTCGTCCATGACTGGAAGACAAGACGAGAAACGTATTGCGCCCAAGACGGGGATTGTTGACCTTAAAAGTCGGGAGAGAAAATCAGGCAGCAGTATGAGTCAGACGCGCTTGCTCTGCAGCCAAGAACCTTGGAAGTCGCGTTCTCGAATTGTCGCGTTTTCGGTTAGCTCGGTTTCCACGCGCTGCTCACCTGGGTATGCCTCACCTAAATTCCGACCGACCTCCTACTCCCCAGACATCTGCGCCTTCTCGCTCAAGCTGCGTCAACTTCGAGGCTATCCTCCAGCTCAGTGTTTTCCCGGTCGACGAACAAGGGCATGTGGCAGCTACGTGAAAGCCACAATGACCAAAGAAGTCAACGAACAACGGCGTTTCCACATCCGGACAGCTGAAGCGACATGCGATCGCTTTCGCAATAGCTCGGCCACTTCTGTGATATGCGCACATGGCTTCGCGCATAAGCCATGATACGAGAACCTCATAGCGTGTATGTTGTTTGCGCGATGCTAAAAAGTGGCGTTCTCAGCTCGAGGCTGGAAAGCCTCCAGGGTCCATTTGGTGGCCGAGAAGGCGGGGTGCCCGAAAACGTGGAGGGCCACGCAGCGCTAAAAGACAAGCAGCTTAGGTTTGGCAAAGGTATGCAAGGACGCAGACGAAGTCGCGGTGATGCGAAGGAAAGGTGAGTCTGGAAGTCGCGATGCGCACCTGTCAGCTGTCGAGGATGCTGGCCCGTCTCGCCGCCACATGGGATCTGGTCGATGCGGATGGTCTAACGCACGCCATGTTCGTTGGCGACTTTGGGGTAAAATGCCATGATAGAAGCGGTCGCATCAATATATATTCAAAGCGGTATCCTTCAGCACAGCGCAAGAGACGGTCTTGAGCAGCATAAACCTTCGACTCTTCATCGTTTCATCAGCAGCCTACAACAAAGACCGCCTAGACTTGCTTTCCACCATACTAAAGCGACACCTTCCACCATGGTGTGGACTCTCGTCAACAAGGGATTCACACTCCACGTCCCTGCCGAGTCCCTTGGTGGTGAGAAGAGCAAAAAGATTACTGTGAGCTGGAGCCAGTGGTTAGGAAGTCGCTCTCAAGAGTATTACGTCTGCAACTACACGATAACGTCCGATCGTATGTGAAGCATTTGCCTGTTCCGAAGGTTCCAGGCTAACTCATCACGAGCAGGCAGGAAAGGCGTCACCGGCCTCCTCTACGTGCAAACCGACAAGCTCGAAGAGTTCAAATCGAAGAAGACCGACGGTGAAGACATCACTTTCACGGTCGACGAGACGTTTCAGTACGGGTCAAACGATGATGTTACCATCTTCTTCCTCGTGTTCCACGACAAAGATAACAAGCCTTTCCAGGTCAGTAAGCTGTGCTGAACATGAATGAGGCTGAACGCTTATCATCTTTCTACAGCACCGGTTTATCAAAGAAACCATAAGTCGTCTTGAAGGGCAAGCTGCCGACTTCATCGGGGGCTTAGGCCTCAAAAGTCAAGCCGAGTCCTTTATTGGGGAGTACTTGATGGACTATGAGCGTTGATCGAACTACCCTCGATTTCATCTTGTGTACAGCTTCCATACGAACTTGGACAGCTATCAGGCGGTCAAAAAACCGAGCCGCAGGGGGCTTTGAACGCTACATATGTTTGCATAGTTCGTGGATATCAGGGTCGAAATGAAATGAAAGTGTTTGAGACACATATATCACTAGCTACATGCTCCAACTTATGGTACTACGAATTATATGTTCATGCTTCTTCTAAGTTACACTGAACATACTTCCATCTACATATTCGATCCCGAAAGACTACTTGGCAGTCCATCGATGCTCACAAATTGTATGCCTCACTTCGACCTCATCCATTCCACCCTTTTTCTAGCCAACCTATCGATCTCAAAGTCCACGCCCATATCGGTCTCTGCTTGTGCATCTGTGATGTCCAGTCTCGTCTGACCGGGTCCCCATACCCAGCCCATGCTACTCGATCATTGGCCTGCAGCTGCGCAACCCGAGTCATAGACTAGCGAGTCGCATCCGTGTACTTTTAAATAGATTCGCATCGACGTGCCAACGTCTTTCAATCCCGATAGCAAGACGTGCAGGAATTCTCCATCTGGCTTTTCGTGATACGACCAAGTATGACTGTGTTCAGCTGGAATTACGAACAAGTCGAAAGTTGAAAGGCCGAGACTGGCCGCAGTTGTAAGAAAGTAGCTTTCCGACGGAGAGTCTACACATGTCTCGTGTAGGTCATACAGGAGGATTTGTGGGAATTTTTGGATCGTGAGAGCCCTCAAACTATCCGGGAAGAACTGCTTAGGTTGAAGAAGCGGTGCAGGTGGATCATATATACTGGTTGTTATGTATTCCAGGTTGATGATTAGAACTTCCAGTTGCGTAAATGCTTTGAAGCTGCCGAAGGGTCTGACTCTCCGGAGAGGCCATGACTCACTTACTCCGGTCCACTCGAATGTTTTCAGTGACGGAAGGGCGACACGCAGTAGTTCGCCTACGCGGCTATAATCGTAGCCTAGAACGTAGACATCTCTCATCTTCAAGTGCTGTATACCATGCATTGCCGGCAGTGTTAACATACGGTGGAGGTGATTTGACCTCAAATTGATGTGCCGAAGTTCCAGGTTACGCAAAGTCCTTACCGCTTCAGATCCGTTGCGTGGCCATTGGAAGTTATGGATGTCGCCTTTGCCGCAGACCTTCAAGGTCTCTACGGGCGTTAATATTGGGATGGATGCCTTTTTTCCAAGAACCACATCTAGGCTCTTCAACTTATGTAGAGGGTAGACTTGTGAGGATGAGCCTTTGATGCTTGTTTCCCAGCGTACGCGGCAGACAGCTTCCGTAATCTCAGGACTAAGATTCATCAGCCGGAGGTGTTCGAGGTTGGTAGCGAGACATATTATGAGGGCAAGCGAACCATCTACAGACCTGGCAGCGTTGAGAACACCGAAGTACCAGTTTAGTTCGAAGTGGGGGTCGCGGAATGGGTATACGAGTTTCCCAATGAGCTCTTCTATGATTGACGACTTCCTGAAGAGCTTTTGGCGTACTATCTCGATCGAATGGTGGCTCGCTCCTACATTCAAAACCTCGTTACCGAGTTTCGTGGCGTCTCTTGCTAGTTCCTCGTCAGCGGTAACCAAGGCGAAGCTCCGAATGTGCTTCGAAAGTTCTCTACGGCTGATTAAAGTCAACAAAAGGCGTGGTATGGAGAGTATGTTGAGACTGCATACTTGGATATTCTTGTAAAGATATGGCTCCACTAATTTGCGATAATACTTGTTTGTAAGCATCAGGTTGTGGAGGGCACGTTGCGGAAGGTATTGCATGATCATCTCGTCGATTTCGGTGGAAAGGTCCGAGAGCGACATGTTTGGGTAGGGATTGCGGTCGGGAGGCAACGTTGCGGAGATGTTGGAACAATCTCTTGGCCGTGTTGTGCCTCTAGAGAGTATGTTGTCTTTGCGTAGAACGTATGGGGAAATATGTGTCTTTGTAGGTGCAAGGTCTTTCCGACGAGAATTTATATATTCTCGTTCCAAGGTTCTTTTAGGCACCCGCAGCGGCACATGACTGGAGTAAATTCCGGTTGAGATGTTGTCGACACGTCATCGGGACCTAAGTTTGAGAATGAGTCGAAGCGCAACTTCAAGATCGCCGTGTGATACTCGCTTTTCCTGGCTCGGGCGCGCTTTCTCGGGTACCTGAAAAGTCTGCGCTGCCTAGGCGTGCTTGCGCTGCTAAGTAATGGGCGTGAGCGCGTGTAAGAAGGTCCGTGCCCCTGATACAGCAGGTGCGTCCTTTCCAGTATCGCTCCTTCCACTAGCAACGCGCAGGTCCTTTCGCAAACTGATTCTGGTCAACCCTGTAAAGGTTTCTAACTCATCCTCATACACCGCTGGCGCGCAGTCGCGACATTTCGCTCGGTCTCGCGACTCATCGCCGACAAGTCATCCACGACTTCCGAAGCCAATACTACACCATACAATCAGGCGCTCTCCGGTGAGAAACATCATTTATACAAGAAATCGTTGGCTCTCTCTTGCCCTTGCTCGCCCAACATGGACCGTCTCTCGACCGAGCTAGACGAAAAGATTATCCAGCAACTGGTCGGAAAGGAAGCTTCTGCTCTTTCGATGACATCAAAGTACTATCGATCGCTTGCAGAACCACAGCTGTACCGACTCCTGACCTTCTCGACCAAGGAATGCGCCGACTTGATGCTCCTGCTTGAGACGCTTCTCGATCGTCAAGGTCTCGCGAGGCATGTTCGTTCGTTCACCCTAACCGACGCTGGAATTCCAGATACTATCACAGAGCTCGGTGATGCCTTCCTCCTCCGTCTTCGGACTAGATTCGACGCATGCAAGCAGATCATCGACGGAGCTGTTACACCCTCGTCAAGAGCATTAGCCACTCGATGGCTTGGGCTGATATTCCGAGGTGCGCCTGTGATAGACAGGCAGCTCGCGGTCGTTCTCTGCCTTGCTAAGAATTTGGAGCATCTGTCACTAGTCCAGACTTATTTGGGCGTTCTTCCGTTTACTCAAAAGGTGGTTGGTATGTGCTGGATTAAGGGCCGTATGGCTGGTATTTGTAGCCATGGACAAATAACCTGGAAGCTTAGCAAGGACACTGCTCATCGTACAGACGACAACACATGCTCACATCCCCATTCGGCAGACACGAATGAGATGTAGTGGGCAGACGGTTCCTGCGAGACTGGCCAGACTTTCATGCATCTCTGTCGGTGCCTTCGCCATTACGTCCCAAGACTGTAAGACACCAGAAGAGCGATAGCATGGAAGAGGAGATGAGTGAGCAACACGTGAGGCGGAGAAGATGGCCGTTGAGCGTGCTGCTTTCCCTCCTATCTGAGCACAAAACAGGGTGTTACGAGGGGTGACTTGATGAATCGAAATAGAACTGAATCCAGAGTATATCCCATGAAATATGCTTGTGGAGGTTGTGAAAAGAACATACAATGTGAGGGTGTTATTGACAAGACGCGTTCTGAGGATGAAAGTAGCCAAATGATTACGTCACGGCGCGGCGATCTCCACCCGTGGACGCCTCGGCCATAGCGGGGTTAACTTTTGGGAGCCGAGCTGCGAACTGCCTAACACACGCGTCAACGTTAGCCATCATCCGCAACATCATGGAGGAATACAAGGCCAAGTACGCCATACACGAGGCCTGTCGGGAAGGTCAAAGTGCGCATCACACCCTCAGCAACGAGATCAAGCCTAACAGTCCCCAGCATCCCGAGTCGACTCCCTCCTCGCCGCGAACCCCAAGCTCGCAAACCTCCGCGACCCAGACGATCGCCTCCCAATACACTGGGCCGTATCCTACAATCACCTCGCTATCGTTCAAACACTCGTGCAAAGCAAGTCGTTCGATCCCGACGTCACAGATGGCTCCGGCTGGACGCCACTCATGATGGCATGCTCTCGGAAAGATGCAGAGCCAATAGTAGACTTGCTGCTCTCCAAGGACGCCGACGTGAACGCGAAGAACAATAATGGCCAGACCGCGCTACATTTCTGTGCATCGAAAGTCAACCTCGATATCGCGCGTACACTACTCGCACAGAAGCCGCCAGCGTCGGCACGGATAAAAGACAAGAGAGGCCAGCTTCCACTGCATCGGGCAGCGGCGGTGGGCAGCGTGCCGATGATGAAGGCGCTTTTGGATGCAAAGAGCCCCCTGAACGCGACGGACATGGATGGCATGACAGCGCTACACCATGCGATGAGCGAGGGGCACGGAGACGCTGCGCTACTCCTGCTCACCATGGGCGCGGAACACGACAAGAAGGACACCGATGGCCATGTACCGCTGGATCTCGCGCCAGATGCGAAGACTAGGAGCTTCATACTGCAGGCAGCTGAGCGGGAAGGCATAGAACTGCAGTAGGGACGATATATCTCACGACATGTAATGTTGCATTTACGGAGTCAATACGATACCCAGGGTCACGGCGCATTGCGGCTGTCATATCTATGAAAACATTCATAATTGAGCTACTGTCTGCGAAATGCTCTCATGCTTTATGCCATGCGGATCGCTGCCTGGTCGGTGGGGTCCACGGGTGGCGCGAGCTCGTGATGACTACTCCCGACCTCGACATGCCTTTCTCTCGCAGCCCCTCACACCCCGCGTGTTCTGCACTTCGGACCTATTGCGCAATCGCACCCATCACCTGCATTAGCCCCCACGCTCCCACCGGCATGTCGCCAGCGGGCCTGACCTAGCGCATGTCCGCAACGATCAGTCTACATTCCATGCCTCGAGTACCAGCGTCTGCACACGCACGGATGCGAACAGGCAATCGCATCAGCTATCAGCTCAACTGTGAAGCACGCGACAAACTCTTGTCAGACTGCGCAATCGCAACTCCACGTGGTGACGTTACTTTGCTCCTGACGCGTGCTCATCCTGAGGATGATTCGCCATCATGGTGCTAATCGTCACCCATCATGGTCTTCACGGTTTGACTATATAGCTGGCGTGGGGACCATATACCGAGGCTGAATCCGCGCCGTTTACTCCCTCAAAGACGTATACAGAAAGTACAGTCTGGACTGCAGCTACCCCAGAAGTATAAGTCGCGACCGCATCGATCAGCTCTAGGTTTCTTACCTCCTCTCCTCAGCACACAACACCACACAATCACTCTCTTATTCAGCACGTCATACCCCCATAGTATAGCAGTATGGCTACCTTCTCCGATCCATCGACGTACCTGAACTTTCTCATCTCTCCGCGAATCCCTCCAGAGCTGGTCCTTAAGACTATCCAGCACCTGCCTTTCAACGATGGCTCGCTCATTACCACTATTCGGAGCGCACATCCTAGACTTCGTGCCATCTTCAGGAACTACGAAAGATCAATCACTAGCAGCTTCATGAAGAAAGAGCTCCGGCACGCTGAGACCGACTTCAAGTGTGGAGATGGTCGGCTGAACGTCGACTGGCTGGCCGATTGCGTTCACAACTACGATATTGTCGATGACGTTATGGACGCCCTCTGCTCTGAGCATAACTTCAACGCGGTCTTACAACACAACATCCCCCTCGCAAATGCCGGACTGCTGCTATTATATCGTCTGACATCAATCGGTCAGTCCACCCGCCAACCCCTCTCCAGCACAGCCTCAGCTAACCTCCCCCTTAGAAGACCACGCAGACCGCCTAACCTACATCAAATCCCTCCCCCGCGACCCCCTGGTTGCAATCTACCTCGTCCTCCACCACGCCACCCTCTCCGCCCGTTACCACGGCTCAGGCTGGATAAACCAACGCACCTACGGCCGCTTCATGGACGCAAACCAAGTCGAACTACGCAGCGAACTAGAATTCTGCTTCGCAGAAGCGGCGCTGTGTCTCGGTCCAGAGTTCATCTCAGACACACTACTGCACCACGATACCTCGAATGCAGAGACTATTTTACTGAACTTCTACCACGATCATGGCACGCATGATTGGGATTGGCCTTGTTGGGGGACAGCGAAGGGCGAGTTTGAACCGCCTAGGACGCAGGGGCCGCAGAGGGAGGAGGGGAGTGGCAGGAGTTTGTTTACGACGATGTTGGAGAGGTTGGCGGAGTGTATGGGGTGTGAATTGGGTGATGTTAGGCCGAGGGTTGAACGGCAGCTTGAGAGTGCGGAGCATGAGTTGGCGTATCTGAGTTTAGCGGGGAAGGCAAGGTTGTTGGAAGGAAAGGATGTGGAGGACGTCGACGGTCGGTAGGATGGGGTGTTCGAGTCGTCGGTTGGATCGGACTGGACTTGAACGACATGTACGAATGGCATTCCTAGCAGACCTTCTAGATTTTGGTTACTCCTCATGATGCAATGCAATACGAACAACACAAAGCTATCATCTCCCACTCCATCGTGAAAGACATCCCAACGCCCTAAACCAACTCATTATAAACATCCGTCCTCCTCTTCAACGGCGAATCATTCCTCATACTCCTCACAAACTCAACATCAATCTCCGCACACGCAATCTCGCCTTCATCCTTCCAACTCCCCCCCTCCCCCTCATCACCCCCCAACTCCGCCACAATCTTCCCCCACGGATCCACAATCATACTATGTCCCCAACTGCGCCTTTTCCCCTCCTCATCATGCACACCCACCTGCGCCGCAGCGATAATATAACTCTGCGTCTCAATCGCACGCGCCCTGATGAGAATCTCCCAATGCCCGGCTTTTCCAGTCGGCGTCGTGAAGGCGGCGGGGTAGAGCAGCACTTCGGCGCCCCGCGCACGTAGGGCGAGACCGGGTTCGGGGAAACGTAGGTCGAAGCAGATTTGCATGCCTAGTTTGCCTACTGGGCTGTCGAAGGGATCACCCAAGTGCACGCCGCGTTCTACGCCGGCGGATTCTTGCATCTGTGGCCCGTCTTTTACGTCCATGTCGAAGAGGTGGAGTTTTTGGTAGCGGTATTTTATTTCGCCCGAGGCGGTGATCCAGATTAATGTGTTTTTGACTTTTTTGCCGTCGTCTGTGGGTTCGTGGATGCCGACGGAGATGGGGAGGTTGTATTGTTTTGCGGAGGCGCAGAGGCCTTGGACGAATTCGGAGTCTTGGACGGATTTGCAGAGTTTGAGACCGCCCGAGGTGGTTAGGTAGTCTGCTGCCTGGGGTGGGTTAGTTTGTGGGGTGGAGATGTTTGGCTGGGGGATGGTGGCGTACTTCTGGGAGGAAGAGGGCGGCTGCGCCGGCTTCGTGGGCTTTGCGGCAGAGGGATTGGGCTTGCTTGAGGTTGTCGGCCATGGAGGCCTGGGAGCGCATTTGTCCGACTGCCTAGGGGTTGTTAGCATGAGTGGGTTATGGTCAGGTTTGTAGAAACAGTCTATGTCGAGCCATAAGTTCTTGCTTGAGCGGTGTGAGGATGTGGTGAAAGGTCAAGAAACACAGGTTGTTCTAGACAGAACCCAACATCTAACATGATGTGTGATGACGCATGGAAGGTTCTCAACTCAAGAGAATGGAGGACTAAGTCTAGCGGCTGAACATGGACTCTGTTGGCCGGGAACGATGGATTATCGAGACTGAATAGAACAAATGCTAGTAGAGTGAGGAACGACTAGAGAACTTACTGCGAGAGGCATCTTGAAGGTATTGATTGAGTCGATTGGATGTGTTGGAATATCGGAAGAGATCAAGGTACCTCTGATCTATATGAAGGCAGCAAACAGAACTAAAGAAAGAATACTGCTGTCGTCAGAGACGGCAGGCGCGTTGCCACTAGAGGCTAGTTCAATCGTAGCAGTCATCGTGAGATGCATGTTGCATCTGGGGACGCATGCCAAAAAAGCATATGGCATGTAGACGACATCGAAAAGTGAAGATATCCATACGCCGATCGTCATGCGGCAGTCATGGCCGGGACCGAAGTCCCCTGCATTAAGGCTTGGTGGTGGGAATTGCGTCAGGGCAGAGAGCGGAGTTGCGGAACATTTGGTCGGCCAATCGGCGGGCGCGTGGCATGCTGCAACCGCGCCCGTCATCTCGAGGGCTTGCGCGGCAGGAACCTTGGGAGCAAGAGGACACGCATGCGATTGGGGCCGCCTTCCAATGATACGAGCTGATCTAGCTGCGACAACATCCACCCGACGACATTCACCTTATGGTCATTGCTGTGACACCCCGCGAACCCTACTGACCGCGTACGACCGCCAACAGACCAGCCTGGCCTCCCGCGCAATTGAGCTATGAACAGACACAAGCGCCGAACGAGTGCACGCTGAACGCTAGCGAAGCGTCGTAGACGACGAATAGAGCCAGGACACGTACAGCTGTAGAGGCACGATGAGCGGGAAGAACTGGTGGAACAGCGCCATCTCGGGCCTGGAGTCGCGCCTGGACGGTATCCTGGCCGAAGATGGCACAACACCCACCAAGCCGACGGGCACAGAGGCAGGCGCCAAGTCAGACACGACAGAAAAGGCAGCGACGGACAAGAAGCTTGCGGTCGAACCAGGTGGGTGGCCTTGGACACACTTGCTGTTACCAGCTTTCAGAGGCTAACGACACAGGCATCTCGCGCACCTCGTCACGAAGTCGACCCAACTCTCGATTACAGGACCGCCTAGCCAAGGCCGTGAACAAGGGCTCCGAAGCAAGAACCTCGTCGGACCTTGGATCAAGACCTGCGAGTCCAGCTGTGAATGCTGCCACCACATCGCCAAGAGCCAGCATAGACTCGAAAGCGCCCGAGCCAGCGACTGAGGCGGTAGCTGTGAAAGAGGAAGCCACAACGGTGAAGGAAGATGAGGCGCCCAAGCCGGATGAAAGCAAGGTCGAGGAACCTCCACAACCCGCCGTAGAGGCACCTGCGCCGATAGTCTCTCCTCCAGCGACTTCACCACCGCCTACGCCTCTAGTAGCCGAGCAACCGACCTCGACGCCCGTTCCCACCATGTCCATGCCGTCGATACCCTCTATCGTCACCCCGCAAACCTCGTCTCCCCGCCAGTCCTTCGACAGCGACCCGTCGCGACCTTCCATCGACGTACTCCCCCCAACGCTGTCTACCGAGACCAAAGACCCCGAAGAAGTGCAGGCTGAGCTATCGCTGTTGCAGAAGACATACGAGGAGACGATGCAAGACAATCGCGAAGAGCTCAACTCGCATCTCGAGCGGATTGATGCTTTGCAGTCGAAGCTCACATACCTGTCCGAGCAGCTTGCTGCCTCTGCAAAAGCCGCCAAATCCGACTCGGAAGCGACACCGGCGGACAAGAAGCTGGCGGACAAGGATGCACAGATAGCTGCGCTCATGGAAGAGGGGCAGAAACTCTCCAAGACGGAAATGAAGCATCTGACCACTATCAAGAAGATGCGCGCGAAGACAATGGATCAAGACAAGGAGATTGCGACACTCAAACAACGACTGACAAAGGCGGAAAAGAGCATCACTGAGCAGTCGGAAAGGGCACGGCGCGCAGAGGCGGCAGAAAAGTCTGCGCAAGAAAAGCTGAAGATTGTGGGCAGGATCGAGAAGGACATCGAGACCATCAGAGCTGAGCGCGAGGAGGCTGGCCTCACTATATCTGAGCTGCGGAAGCAACTCAACGACGCGCTCTCACGGGCTGAAGATGCTGAGAAGAGAGCCCAATCTGGAGCGCTGGAAGCAGAGAAGAGAGCCACTGCGTCACTCAAAGAGGATATCGAGAATGTCCGGATAGAAAAGAAGCTTGCCGAAGATCGCGCGAAGAGGGAGCTCCAGGCGGCCAGAGACGAAGCGAAGAGCCAGCAAGAGAAATCAAAGGTCGCCGAGCTTGAGTTGCGCGGCGAGATTGCTGTGAGTTTTGATGACCTCCTGGAGAAACACTTATACTGACAGAAATCTAGAACCTGGAATCTAAGCTCGAATTGCTCCGCAGCCGCACAGAAGAGGCATCTTCATCTGCGACTGGCGACTCACAAGCCAAGCTTCTGCGGCAGATTGAGACGCTGCAGACCCAGTACTCGCTGGCTTCCGAGAACTGGCAGGGTATCGAGACCACTTTGACGTCTCGTATGGCAGCTCTTGAGAAAGACCGTGATGAGACAGCAAAGCGCGAGTCTGACGTCCGACGAAAAGCAAGAGAAGTCAACTCGAAAGCACGTCGACTGGAAGACGAGCTGGAGAGCATCAACGAGCGAGCCAGGACGTTTGAACACGACCTGACCGAGCAGCGTGCCGCAGCTCAGAAGCTACAAACTAGGCTCACACAAGCGGAGACGGCAGCACAAGATGCGCGAGCCGACCTTGAGCGGGAGAAGAAGCTGTGGGAGGTCGAGTTTCAACAACGGATAGAGGAAGAGAAGAACAAGTGGAAGGTGGAGATACAGACGCCGTCTCTACTAGGCGATTCACATCATCTACGGACAGACTCACCTTCAATAGCACAACGCCGGCATTCGCCCGATCCACTAGGCATATACAGCCGGCGGCCGAACCCACGCTCCATCTCCAGCGGCATGGACATGCCCATGATGTCCCCCATGGACCGCATGTTCGACGAAGCCTCGCGCCGCCCCTCCTCCTCCCGCCACAACAAATCCAGCAACGCGACCAAAGTGCGCACCCCCGAACTCGGAACCCCTCAACGACAAGACTCCATCCCGTCAAGCATGTCCAACCTCAACGGCGGCCTGGAAACTCCGTCTATCCACACCATCGACCACGACAACGACCCCTTCGAAAACACATCCTCCCCCCACCGCACAATAAACGACATGATCAGCGTCTCCACCGCCGGTGCCGGCCCCTCCGTCCAACTCGTCGAGCGCATGAGCGCCGCAGTCCGCCGCTTGGAATCTGAAAAAGCGACGCACAAAGAGGAACTTGCTCGTCTGACTGCCCAGCGCGACGAAGCTCGCGAAGAAGTTGTTAAGCTCATGCGTGAGGTTGATGAGACGAGGAAACAGGGGGAGAAGGTAGGGGATCTGGAAAAGAGGTTGGGTGAGATGGAGAATAGGGAGATGACGGCGTTGGAGATGCTGGGCGAGAAGACGGAGAGGGTCGAGGAGTTGGAGGGGGATGTTAGGGATTTGAAGAAGATTTATAGGGAGTTGGTTGATACGTTGAAGTGAGGGGGTGGTGTAGCCGTGGGGTCGGGAATCGAGATGCTACCTTTCCTCCGTTTGGGTGTCACGAAACCGTGGTTCAAAGTGTTATTTGCTGACCAATGACGTCGCTTACCTCCCCGTGGTGTGCACAACCATGGGCCGCAAACAGTGACTCATGTCGTCGAACTGGCCGCCTATATCTGTACGCGCCCCTCGGATCGCAGATTCGTTCTAAATCACAACAGGACCTTGATAACACACGAAGTAACAATTCCCACATCCGCGTGACCCGTTGCGCCTTTGCGACTGCCAACATGATGGACACGACCAACATAGCACCTGTCGTTTGGATCAACGGATTTCCAGGCTGCGGAAAGCTTACCATCGCCTCCGCTATGAAGACCCTACATACCGACATGATCCTCCTGGACAACCACCAGCTGATCGACCCCGTGGAAGCGAAGTTCCAACGAAGTCACCCCGATTACCAAAAAGAACGCCATCGGTATCGGCAACACATCTTCAGAGAATACGTCAGTAATCCTGCCACGTTATCGCAAGTCGTCGTTTTCACCGGTAAGAATCCTATGTACCCTTCGCTATTAACATTTTGCTGATTGTTGTGATTTTATGATGATGAAGATTACCAGTCCGAAAACGTACTAGGGCAAAAGGTTGCGGAAGAGTATCGGGAAGCGGCGAGAACAGCTGGACGTCCGTTCAAGCCTGTCTATATTCTTTGCGATGTCGAGGAAAACATTAGGCGAGTTGCTGCTGCTGGACGCGTTAACGGTAGTGCCAAAAAGCTCACTGATTCTGATCGTCTGAGGGATTTCAGGGAGAGATGCGATATCTTTCGGTTTGATGGTTGTGGTGGGTTAAGCCTTGACACGACTGACAGTACGCCTGGAGAAGTAGCTAGGGAGATACTTCAGTTCGTGGAGGAAAGATGACAACCAGTTGCTACTCAAATCGGCGGGTGGTGCTACTTCGCTCAGCTGGGAGGTGTGACCTGGTGTTTGGCTTACTGAGATGGATCACTTGAGCGTACCCTTCTATCAAGCGTTCACAGACAAGACATGCGCAAAAGCGCGTTGCGCAGACCTTTGACTTGGAAACGGAGAGGTTCTCGGCCTTGGTGAACGTCACACAACCAATGAACAAGTGCGGGCTGCGCGCGAGAAGCATGAAGTTGATCTAGAGGGCTATGCTTGGTACACTGAGCTTCGAGAGCACAAACCGATACTAACAACGGGCTGGGGTATGGGTATCGAGCGCTTTCTGGCTTGGGCGTTTCGCCATGACGATATCCGGGATATGACGATTGTGCCGAGGATGAAAGGGTTTAGGTTTGCTCCTTGAGTTCGTCGTCGCTCAAGCCGTTGCTTCAAACCTTAGACTGCGAATCTGTCTCGCGAAGGTGTCTCTTTATCTAGAAACGCGCTAAAATATCGCTATTGCTTGCAACACGTCTTCTTGCGGCATGAATGCTTCTGCATTGAAGACCACGTTCCTACAAGGAGGGTCATCATTTCTTTGCCTAGGTAGTACATTACGCTTCAAGCTTCAACGAAGCATGTTTCTAAGAACTACTTGATACTTATAGTGAAATGCATGTAAACTCTGGTAGATTATCTGACGAATCATCGAAGTGCGCACGCATGGTATCTCCTAGCGTTGTACGCCAGAGGTATACCTGTGTTCTACGAAGCTAGGTGCTGTAACATAGACCTCTAGCTATATTTACTTCTTTTTCGCCTTCGCCGCCGCTACAGCATAAGCTCCAAAAGCTTCTGATCTCCTCATTTCGAAGTATACGTACAAGCCAAACCACAACACCACAGCTACAGCTCCACAAACCAGCAAGCAGCAAATTCCAAGGAGCAGATACTTGCATATTTGTAATCCTACCGGTGACGTGAGCACACAGATCAAGATCTGGGACAGCGCTGGCCACAGCACGACGACGCGGAAGTATATACGTAGCGGTAGCCACGTACTGCCGGCGATAGCCAAGTGAAGGGGATTGAGACTAGAAATGAGGCTCTTAGCACCACTAGTGTAGTAGCGATCTTTTCTAAACTCTTCCCTGAAGAACACAGGAGTCACCGCGCGCATATGGCACGCGATTGGCGTCTCATCCTTGTCTTTCGACGACTCGAAATTGACACGCACCATCTCCATTGTGATCTTGGCTTTCAGGCTCCGCAGCATGCGACTGGCCATCTCTGGCGTCACATCCTCTGGATTTGCGTTCTGGAGCAGAGCTTCGAAGACGGTCCGCTTGTTTGAGTCGCGGACGTTCATACAATTGTCGTAAGTCCGAACGTTGGAGTTGTCGACCAGTGTCCTCAATTTCTTAAAGAACTCTATCTTGTCCGCGAGTGGTACGGGCATTGCGGCAATGTAGTGAAAGATGGTGGTCCATTCGGTCCATTTTTCGGGATGTTCGGACATGGCGTGGACAATAAGATCGGGTCCAGAAGGGCAGGGAACGCGAGAATCGAAACCTGAGTCGTCAAAGAAATGCGCGAGCGTCCACATATACTCGAAGTGTAAAGCCCCATTTTCTTGCACGTGTCCGAAGAAAAGGCTTTCTAACGCTGTCTTGGATACCTGCGGCGACTCGTCAAAAACCCAGCCTGGGTTCGCTCCTGCGCACAGAAGGATGTCAGCCATGGTAGGGTTCGGAAACTTGCCCGGGGACCAGCCTGCATAGTGTAGCAGCGGCCGACCGGGCTTTTTGATGAGATCAGGTTGTCTTCTCAGCGCTTCCGAGACAAAAGCGCACATGTTGTTGCTCACCGCGAATGCCAGGAATGTAGTTTTCCAGGCTGGAGGGTGGTTCAGGCGTGGACCCGGCCAGTAAGCCTTCCCTTCGGTCGACTTTGATAAGCATCGATCAAGAACGTGGATAAGGTCGTAGGATTTCGTTCCCTCCAAAGAGTCCAGCTCGGGGGCGTACCTCATCATGATCTCTGCTGGTTCCAGGGTCCATCTAGACTCCTCTCGCAGGGCGTCGCTCAGCTGAATATAGGCGAGTGCGATTGAGATATGGTACATAGCGCCAGCTACCATGAATCCCTCCTGTGGTGGAGGAAATTTGTCGTTTATCTTCGAAATCAGACTTGGGTCGGATGTCGTCAGGAATTCCCTCACTGTCTGATGGAGGAACTGAACAGTCCAGACCGTGGCGTCTGGCATAAGCATTGAGTTCTGCACACACCAATGAAACGCATCGATGCAAGCGTCAGGATTGGTCAAGCTGACAGTCTCGTCATGCACACCTGACACTATTCCTGCGAGCAATTCATCTCTTGAAGCGATCCTGGCCTTTTCGTGTGCATAATCATCTTCTCCGGGCTCGGTCGAAGGTTTGGCAACAATCGATCTCCTGATTGCCTCCCACGTTTCCAGGGCTTCCTTGTATCCTTCTGGCATAACGACCTGCACCAATCCTCCCGTTGCGTCTCTTATGCGCTGCTCCAATCTAGGGCCACTTCTACTCATATCCAATATCGGACGGGGCTCAATTGCATAACCGTCTTCGGTAAAGGTTTGATATGGAATCACCTCGAGAAGGACACCGATATCCATTACACTCACCGGTTTATCCGCCGCCAGGAGCGTCCTGAAGATGGCGTCCGTCTCTCCGCGAGTCTCTACCGGTATGCTGTCGAGTGTGGACAAGTAGAGCTCAGCCATTTGTGTGTTTGTCTGATCCAGGTTCAATAGTCGCGCTCGTACGTTCCCCAAGTATTCGCTTCGTGATAGGCTGACATGCACGCTGTCGACGACCAGGCGAACCCAAAGAAACACACCCATTGCCTGATCAACAATAAACCTACAGATTTCCTGCAGCTGATCGCAGAATTCCGAATCTCCAGCCATGTCTTGTGCGCGCCGGTGGGACTCCAATCGGCTGTGGACATAATAGTATATGTCCCCCTTGGTCCAATCCTGCACGCGCAAGCCAGGTCGATCCTTCAATCGGACATCGAACGCGCTCTCCGGACGGCTGGTGGCACATATCTTGAAGGTACCAAATCCTTGGTCACTCTCATTCGTTACCAGGAACTCCAAGAAGTCGGCCATATATTCCCAATTCTTCTCATCGTTGTCACTCTCGTCCAAGGCGTCTATGAAAAGACACATGCGAAACTTGACTATTTTCTGCGACTTGCATAGAAGCAGAATCCTCTCAAGCTCTTCTAGAGAGAAGGAACTTTGTTGGCCATGGGAAGCGACCAACGGTTCGATGATGGAATGAAGGGCGGGGTGGAAACATAAGAGTTTGTACACGATTGCGCCGACGACTGCTTTCCAGGATCTGTTCTCTTGCTCAATTTCGCGCGTCAAGAAAAATGCTGCATGAGACCAATCGAATGTCTCTAGGGTTCTGGCGACGTCGCCTGACTCGCACAGGTACTTCATGACGGTAGACTTCCCGGAGCCTGGCACACCCTGGATCCAAAATATGCCTTCTTCAACGGCAAGCCAATTCATTAGGCCGGGCCCTTGCTGGTCCGCTTGTAGGAGCCACGAGAGCGTGCGATCATGAGCTTCGTTAATCTGGTTGGTTTTCAACGTCAAGGCATCGGAAAAGTGTTTGAACAAACACTCATTTCCTATCGTAAATTTATTAGACAGCGTGCCCAAAGTCGAAGGCTTGAGCCTCCCGCCAGAGAATCACGTACTTTCCCGCAGTGCTTCGTACACTCTGTTCATATGCTTGCTTATCTGGGGTCTCACCACTTGCTCATAATCAACCCGAGTCGGACCTGTCCTACTGAACTTGCACATGTTCATGTGATTGGCGGTAATGGGCAGGCGCCGTTCTTTTGCGTGTCCAATTTCTGAAGAGTCCGGGTCTACAATCTACAATGGGGGTAGCGTCAGGTATTCAGGCTTTTCCAAAAGTTCTTTGCCGGGTTTCATACCTTTTCATCGAAGCCGTTGAAGCCTTTGTACCCCAATGATTCCTGGTAAGACGTAACATAGAGCATTTGCTGTTTGTCCAGCTTTTTTCTGAAGTCATCTCTTAGTATTTGCAGCATTGCGTCATTCGGCGTGAGCAAATCGAGGTTGATGTTACTCGTCGAGAAGCCGATCGCTTTGGCAAAACGGGAGATGATCTTGCCCGTGCTGACCCAAAGACTCCCGCGATGAGGGGTACCGAAGAACAAGACGCCCGCCGTTGATGCTAGTATGTCTTTCAGGTCTTCATCTTCATCCTCAGCTTCGGCAGATAGCCTCAAGGCCTATTTTGAGTAAATGTCAATTGACCGAACACTATTAGGTGATGATGAGACCCAGAGAAGACTTACCGATTTGACGACTAAACCACCAAGAGAGTGCGCAATGAAGATGATGCGACGACCTCGCACTTTCTCACGCTGAGGAGCAAGCCGTTCTAGCAGGTCTCGTCCACGGTCGAGGATGTTGTCGCGATTAGCTGGGCCAGAGAAAAAGTGGCTAACGGAGGAATCGTAGCCATAGGTGAAAACGCGCGCTTTGGGGAAATCCTCGAGCAAGAAGTCTCGCGGCCAAAAGGTGTTTGACGGTGGAGGAGTTCCTGGTAAATCCGCTGCGGGCTCCGTTGCAGCTGCTTTTGCTGACCGTCGGAAAAAGGAACCCTTGGAAGGTGGTTTGGTAGAAGTTTGGTTGTTAGTACCCTCCGAGAACGTCCACGTGCTCTCCGGGTGACCTTGGAGGCCATGTACAAAAACAATGTCAAATTCTCGAACCGCGTCGCCTTGAGTGAGCTCGGTCAGGCCATAGATGGAGATTGTCGCGGGTACTGGACTGTTCGCTGTAAGAGTGGAAGTGTCCGCCATGTCGTCAGCCCATCTATGGCACACTTCTAAAGAGTGATCTCTGAGTAGACGTGTAGTGAAAGGATGAGTCTTCTAGTAAGGCGTGGAGAATAGAGTGGGTGAGCAATGGCGGGCTATAAGCATATCCCTCCATGAAGGTTTCCGTATGCTAGCTAAGTTCGGGTGCGGCTGAAGTCTTTAGTTGGAGAGGCTGGATTCAGCCACGAAACACTCTAGCAATACTACAACCTCTCAAATCGCAGCTCAATAGATAGTCTGGACGCCAGAGGCGCAATCGACTGCAGCCTTCAACCTCGTGAGCGCCACGACATGATACGCTTGTTGCGCTTGCAAACTGAAGCGGGAGTCTTTGGTCTGCTAATCGTATGTTCGTGGGCTAAAAGTCACAGTAATACATAGTACGAGCAGGCGCTATGTACGGTCAAAATGCGACGATGAATTTGGTCATAGGGCGCAATACCAAAGATGAAGGATGCGATTGATGTTGAAGAAGATGTAGGAGGGGCTCATCATCGGAGCAGGAACGTAGCGGCTCGGGTGAGCCGTCGCGGCCTGGGCTGTTGTGATTGGGTCGGAGATGCAGGCAGCTCCCCCACTTTCAATTAGGCGTCCAGGACTGGACAGAACGAATGCTTTTCCTAGAACGACCCGTTTTAGACGAAAGCAAAGTCGCACTTTCGGTATTCTAACCTTGCAGGCTTCTAGGGACTACTGCTATCGAACATCGACGATCCGATGGAAACGCGCATAGGTCTTTTGGAAGCTTTCAGAAAACCCCTCACAAGACCAACGAGTGCTAGGTCGGTACCTACAACAGCATTAGCCAACCTTACTTTGACCAGTCGTATCCAAAGAAAGATGACTTACCAGGATTTCCTACTACCGATATCGCAATTGGAAGCTTCTCCTCGCGCCCGCTCACCCGAGATGCGTACGGGAATTCTGCAACTGAACGAGCTCGTCAGCCCCATCTCTTCTACTACAAGCGTACGACCTACTTGGAACGACAATTTCGGGAGCCGCGATAGTGGGTGAGATATACAGCGCATCGAACGCGTTCTGCTTACTGGGCGGCTCTGTCTTCCGATCTCTATAGTTTGGTGCAACCTCAGAGACTGGCAACACCATCAAGGTGTCGTATCTGTCTGCTCGGAACACTTTAGAGAGTAGCCAGTCTCTGTACGTGTCGAGGCGGGCCACAGCATCCTCGTTCTCTTCCTTCGTCACTGATTTGGCGACATCCCTGGCGCGAAGTTAGATCACGTCAATATCCGAGACCGCGGTGCGCACCATCTCCACTGTGTGTATTCATTTGCGTAAGGTTCCTTCTGGAACTCGCGCCTGTACGTTTCGCGGAATTTGTCGAAGCTATGATAGAAGTCGTACAGAAAGGTTCTAGTGAAGACCTAGGGCACGTCAGCATCGCTATCGCGATGATTCAATGAAGCCAGACCTCGCTCAAATAGCCATCTAGTGACTCTTCATCCACGGTATTTGGGTGCGACCTTTCCCATGCCAGTGATAAGTCAAGCTCCGTGACTGGCGCTTGCAAATAATCGCTGAAATCCTGGACGAAGCTCTTCACGTGCTGCATCTGTACTTCGTTGTTGACTGGGAAGAAGTCCACTGGATACAGAAGCCTTTTCGGCAGCTAAGCATGATCAGAAACAGCCGACGATGTTATTGCAAACCGCCCGGATGGAACTCACATTAGCCTTTGGTTTTGCGATGTCCCAATTGTCGAGCCATACTTGGAGTATGGTATCCAGCTTGTCGATATCGCGAGCGAAGATACATTGCGTGTCGAAGCGACTGACGATCAGCGAACCCATCGCAGCAATCACGCAATGGTATGAGCTTACTCGAAAGTCGGTACCATTCCTTCGAGTGGCAGACGCCCTGTAGAAAGGCGCAGTGCGAACAAGCCATTCACAAAGGCCGGGCGACGTCCGCTTCCCGTAGCTACTATGCTTTAGGATCGAATCTCCAGCTGAGGCTTTGACTTACTGTCAGATCCAAGGGTGAAGTCCAACCACGCGTAAGACGCAAGGCCCGCTGCACTTCCGCTGCTACTGCCAGCCGGTGATTGATAGCCGTCTCCGCGGGGGTTGAACGGTGCTTGGTAGTCTATGGCTTCAGTCGGCTCTTCACGTCCAATGAAGGAACTCAACTTTAGCATCCCGACCAGAGTACAACCTTCGCTCAACAATCTCGTGACGCATGGAGCGGTCGCCTCCGCTCGTTTTGAGACTGCATAGTACGGTCGGCTGCAGAGTGAAGTTTCCAAGCCAGCGACGGAGTAGATGTCTTTTACTGCGAATCTCATGCCGCTCAGTCGCAAGTCCGATCCTTGCTCAGTCAAACTGAGAGCACTCGCTCGAGACGGTATGGCAACGCTAAGCGTCTGATATCGGTCGCTACACAGCCGCAAATTCTCATATCTGTTTGGTACGACGTTAGTACATTATTCATTAGAATGCGGAGCAGATCTCACTTGTCTTCTTCACCTGGACGAATGGCAGCCATAAAAGCCCCATTGGTATCATCGTACAGTCTAGCCACCTTCCAGAGCTCACTACCATGCAGCAGGTGAGGACCGGTCTCAATGTCACAGCCACTCTGCAAGGTCGCAAGCGTGAGAGTCTGCAGCCCTCGAGCGTTCAGCGCGGCTGCGAGCTCGACGTCCAGTTCCAGAATCGAGCGGCCGTGAGATGCGACCACAACATGTTGGAGAAAGCTTGAGCTGGTCACATCGTCTTTAGCCTGGACTTCTTCTATTTGCTGTATGATCTGCGCGTAATCCGGAGGCTGTGACGCTGGGATCTTCAAGATAAAGCAGGGCTGTAACTGCGCATTCTTTGGAGGCGGTGCATTCTCGAAGGTCAATCGCCAATGCTTCTGGGACCAAATGGTGTACGATGTCGTGTCGAACGTCAGATTGGTACTGACGGGACGGAGCTTTTGCGTTTGAGTTGTGTGTAAGAGAGCCTCCCAAACTTGGAAGTCCATGCTGGTAGCGCGGGCTTTCGATGCTGATGCGCCCATTGTGTATTTCGCATGTAGGCAGGTAATAGCTGGGTTGGAGATGGTAAGAGAAGGTTTGTTGGGCGTGGGTGAGCTGTATAATAACCCGAATTCCCAACCTTGGAAGTCACGGATCCGCTTCACCCACCTAACGGGCTGGTCCCGTCATCAGCCGTGTGACAAATCCTACAAACGAGTTTTTACCCCCCTTGGGTAAGTCCAAGGGCGAGTAGGGTCGTCAGTGCCAGACAACCATGTTTGTCGTTAAATTCTACATAGCAAACACATACCACACGATCCACCCCACGCGCCAACACACGTCACTCAATAACTTGTCTCTCGGTCACGGGTTTGTTTCTATTGAATGAGATTTTTCTCTCGGTTCTTTCGTCCGGGAAAAGAGGCGTGGCTGGTGATATGCCGGACTGAAGAGTGGCGTCGAGCCTGTTCAATGCACATCATTCGTACGATCCTCCAAGTGACCGTGATCAGCTCACCATCCTGAGGTGTAAGGTTCTCTTTGAGATTAGACAGTTGAAATCGTGTTGAACTACAAATTAATTGCGGTGCGGAAGCAGGTCATTAATGCGCATAGAAAGCAAGTCCTAACTCCTGCGGAACCAACCCTTCTTCTTCAATGTCCCGCCCAAGTACTCCACAACTTCACGATGCTTCTTCGCCTGCGCATGATCCAACGGGGTCTTGCCCTGACGATCCTGTACATTCATCGTAGCCCCATATTCCAGCAGCCCACTGACCATTACAGTACTCCCCAGCTTCGCAGCCTCATGTAGCGGCGTCGACCCAGAGTAGTCCTCTGCATTGACGTTTGCGCCTTCTTCGATCAACCTGTCGAGTATATGGAGCATGTGATCGACATGTGTATGCACAAGCACGTGTAAAATACTGCGGCCTGTGAGATCAGTGCGATGCATGTCCTCTCTCGCTCCGTAGTCTTCAAGGAGTACGCTCACTATATCGACGTAGCCCATTTGAACTGCGTAGAATAGCGCGCATGTCATGCCGTTAGCACGTGAGTGTACGTCTGCACCGCGATCAAGGAGAAGAGTGATGATGCCGTAGTTGCCGCCTTCAAGCGCCATAGCTAGCGGTTTCGCGCCAGCTTTCCCGATGGCTTCGATATTGGCTCCCGCATCTAGGAGTGCAATGACAGCGAAAATCTGATTCAGCGAGATAGCGAGATGAAGCGGTGTGTTTGCGTCCTCATTCGCCAGTTCTGTGTCGGCCCCATGCGCTAACAGCATCGGTATATGCCAGCCTAGGAGATCGAAGCTTGTGACCGCATCGTGAAGTAGCGTATTCCGACCGTATACGGACTGGTCATTGATATTTGCGCCCACTGACAAGAGCTGTCGAAGCGATAGCGCGTTTCCGAACCAGAGCGCGTACCTGAGAGGGGTGAAATCCGCTTTAGCTGCGAACATCGCTTGACGAGGCACGTCAAGCCATGCGCCACGTTGAATTAGTACCATGGCTAGACGAACGTCTTGTGTTCGAGCAGCTATGTGAAGGCCAGTACATCCACTCTTGTCTGTCGTATTGGCCGATGCTCCGCAGTCTAGCAGAATTTCCACAATCTTGTAGACATAAGGTGTAGTGGCGTTGTTGCTGATGACCCATTTAAGGGCCTTTTCCGGCTCATTCCGATAGGACTTCTTTCCTTTGAATCCGGCTTGGGCAAGACAGGCCAAGGCCTGTGCGGTGATATCTTGTGGTGATCGGTCTGTATCGTCCTCAATGGTCCACTCATCGATGATATAGTCGTAATAGCTATGATCTGGATACGGAGGTAGCGGCATGCCAGCGAAATCATCGCCGTGGGGTAGCGAAGGAGGATTTGTGAACGGCCCCGGTGGGCTGATTTCAGCGACGCAATCTTCACAGTCGCAAGATGGAAAGTCAATGCACGGCTCTCGATCCTCATTCAGGGCACGTTCCCCTTCACAAGACCGACACATGCACGAACTCAGACATGACATGATGTAGTCCACATCGCTCAACGTCTTGAGTGAGAGGCGCACCAAATGATAGGTGCACGTGCAATCCGCCAGATCGGGGACGAGATCGTCGACTTTGCGGACTGCCTGGAACAAACGACAGAGATCACACGTGCAACCAGTGGGCTCCTGTTGACGAGCGAGAGAAAGTGTGCTCTGATACGGTGGCGGTGGCGGAAAAAGTTCGGGCTCGTCCGATTCATACTCTCGTAGTAAATCGGCTATCTCCAAGTTGCCAATCTTTTCGCTGATCGTCAGTGGTGTGTTGCCAGACAGATCTTCGACATTAGCGTCAGCACCAGCCGCCAACATACTCATGATGAACTCAGTAGGCGCGTCATGGTAGCAGGCCAGATGCAGTGAAGTTTCACCACAATCGTCCTTGGTATTGATATCGGCAGCGCCAAGGTAGCGGAGCAAAATTTGGTAAGTCGCTAAGCGTCGTCGATGGATTGCAACATGGAAAGCGGTCTGGCCTCGAAAGTTCGTGATTGTCGCATTGGCACCTTTCTTGATCAAGTACTTCGTGATACCAGCTCTGTTCCTGTTCGCCGAATAATGCAATGCGGTGTGATTGAATACATCGCGTTGATGGATGATCTGTGGCTCCACAAAGAGGGCGTGCTCAATCACATCACGTGCGAGAGAGTCATCGCGGAAGTTGCTGGCGACAAGCATAACGTTGGCCCCGTATTTGTCAAGCGCTTCTGCCGCGATTAGACCGGTGATTTCATCTCTCCAGTTTGGATTCTTCTCCCTCAGAAGGGCCAAGTGATATTCGAATGCGCCGTCATCGGCTGCAAACGCTTCCGCAAGACTGATGACAGTAGAAGAGTCTTCTTCGTTCGTGGGTTCGGCGGCCTTTGGTATATGCACGAACCGCAAGTGAGCCGCTTCGTGCTCATGATCGGTACGTTTGCCTGTGCGATCTCTGGCTATGTGTTTCGGTTTCGTTGCTTGCATCTCCGGTATATCGGCGCGAGCTTTGTCCACATCGTTGGTCTTTTCCATACTAGCCCTTGTCGGTCTTGGGTAGCTATCCTCGGTCACAGCTGCAGGTGTGGCGCAGAATGGTACATTTGCATCGTTCCCGACGTTGAGCCATATAGGGTGCGACTGACCGACACCTCCCGTGGAATGATGACCGAGGTAATCCGGTACATGGGGAGGTGTATATACTATCTTTTCGATGCTTGGGGGAGGGGCCTGGAGCGTCACGTCACTGCCGATGGATGTCGTCGTAGTGTTGTTCATGACGGTAGGTGCATCCGACATGCCATCACTCAGCACGGCCGTCTGGAAGATCTCATCTTCTGACTGCGAGCCTGCCCAAGATGTTGTGTCACTTCCGTCCCCCGACAAACCCTCGCTTGCACAGCATGGACCGCTGTAATGGATTCCTCTGGCTTGTTCCTTTGTTATCATCGCTTGAAGATCTTGAGCTGTGAGTCTCAGTTTAGGAACGCTGGCGGTCATGTTACTAGTCCATTGTAACAAGGGCTCATCAGTCGTCGATCCCATCGACAGCTCGGCTATCCAACTTTGGATTGCTTCTGGGTTCTGCCAATAGTTTGTTGAGAGTGTCCCTGTGGTTTGGAAGAATTCAGCCTTCGATCGCAGTTGTCTCTTGGTAAGAACAGTCTAGAAGAGTCAGCAATGTCAAAACATACGTACAAGCAACTTTCAACTCACAGCGATCTCCAGATAAATACATCCTAGGGACCATACATCCGAAGCGGTATTACGGGGTTGCAGCATGCCAACCTGAGATAGTGTCAACAAATATTTGGGCCATCATGCCTAGCTGAACTCACCTCGGGTGCGATGTATGCCGGTGTATAAGCTTCAGGCTGGCCCATCGTAGTCTCTCGTTGCGCCTCAGTCCAATCTAAAGCGAGTCCAAAGTCCGCTATATACACTTGCTCGCCTTTGATCAGGATATTGGAGGGTTTGAGATCTTTATGGCGGCATTTGTTGTCGTGAAGATAGACCAGAGCGGAGCACAAGCATCCCACGAAGCCCCGAAGGACGACATAGTCTTGTGTAGTCCATGCATCTCGGGCCAGATATTGTTGCAGATCGAGATCGGCTACTAGTTCCATGATGATACCAATGTATCTTCGGTCGGTGTATATACACGTCACACACGCTCTAAACGCTTTATCTATAATATAAATATTTATACGTTCTATTATCTATTATCTATCTAATATTTTATATCTTCTTTAGTATTATTATTTAAGCTTATACATTTTTTTATATTTTTACCTACACGTTATATAGAGTAAGCATAGTATTTATTCTATTCTAGCGTTTAACGTTACTACTAAAGTAGTTTTAATATATAAGTAGCTACTCTTTATAAGTAAGCTAGTATACTAAGTATTTTATTTAAGTTAATAGCTTATATACTATTATCTACTTATTTTAGATAAAGGTTTAAGCTATTAGTATAAAGCTTAAAACATTAGTATAACTTATAAAGAATATAGTAGCATTACTTACTTAATAAAGTATTTAAAAAGTAGCTATATATTCTTAAACTACGTAACTTTTTAGTATATATACCTACGTAGAGAAAATACTAGAGAGCTTATAAGATTACTAAATACTTAAGAGCTTATTTTTTATATAAAGAAGTAATAGTAATAATATTAGAAAAAATAAAAATAGTAATAGTAATAGTAGTATTATTTAGGTTTTATATAAGAGTAATAAGAGACTAAAGAAGTAGAAAGTATACTATCTTATATATTATATATAAGAGAAAAAGTAGAGTTATAAAGATAAAGCTTTTATACTCTTCTTTAACTTATATATATATAAAAATCTTAAAATCTAGTTTTATTTTATTCTATAGTACTATAATAACTTATTAATAATAAGCTACTTACAACTCTTATAATACACACAAGATATATAATAACTAAATCTGCCTATTAAATATAGAAGAGATAAGAAAGAGGTTGGTTAGTGTATAAACTGACACATTACTCGTTAGCGACGTGTTGTATCTCGGCTTGCCCAAACTCACCCTAGGAGCTTCACCAGATGATGGTGCGACAGTCGCTTGAGGTTATGGACCTCGTTCTCGAATGAGAGCAGCTTCTTGCGGTCCTTTGAAAATGTGCCGCTCCTTCGATCGATGCGTTTTAACTGTTGCTGATGAGTCAACCCTCTAGCAAAATACATCACAAGTCCTTACAGCGTATTCGATCAAATCAATTCTGCTTTCGACACGATGGACAATGCTGAAGCCGCCTTTCCCAAGCTGCTCCTTAATGACAAAATAAGAATCTGCACCTTTGTCTGGCGAAGGTCAGCACCTGAGCAGCGAACGGTGTACAGAAGTGTAGCTTACCAAGGTGATGATGACGACCTCCTTGTACCAGATCGACTGATCTTGAGCTGAGTACAAACCGTTGTTCCCGAAGAAAGTTTTGCCTGGAAGCAGCAGATTTGAGACTGGAAGTAAGGTCGACTTCAGTGAAAGGGAAGTGAATGTCCTTGAACCCTTCGACAATGAGCATGTTCATCGCTCGCACTTCCTTGATCATGCGGAGCACGAGATATAGTCTGGGTCGTACACTCCAGTTATGCTTTCCAAGCATTGCGAGTAGTTCCCCGAGCGCCAGAATTGTCTCGTCGTTGTATGGCTTCTCGGTACCCATACGTTGAGTGGACGCGGTCGATAAAAGTGACAGAACTCTCTCCTCGAAGTCTTCAGCATCTATCTGTAGAACATTTGTAGTCATGTCTGAAAGACGGGTGGCAGGTAGCACTGGTGAGGCTGACTTGTTCGTGTCCGGGCTCAAGGCGTTTACTCGCGGGATTGTCGATGGGGTCGGGGTGGCCGGCATGCTTGCAACGCGTTTCTCCGCTCTTGGGGTGGTTGGAGTTGATGGTACCTTCGAGGCTGGGCTTTGGTCAATTGGCGGGCGAAATCCTGCAGGCGGCTTTTGGTGATCCTTCCAGGCCCTTCGCGGTGGTACAGGAGGGCGGGTCCTGTCAACCATAGGACGTGAGCTCTGCGTCTCCTCGAGTATAGACGTAATCTGGTCGAGTCGCATTGTGGCTCGGCGTCGGACCTTTGCAGATCTATGCTGGAGCTCTCGCATTTCATCCAGCATCACTGTCTGCTCTTTGTCACCTGGCGCCGCTAGCCGTTCGTTTAGCAATGTTCCGATTTGCTCCAAGGCCACCTCGAGTCTGCTGATTTGAGCTTTCAGGCTTGCGGCATCGAGAGCATCACGTTCAGCAACCTGCATTTGCTTGCAGCTGGGATAATTCGTCAGTCATTGCCTTCATTGTTCAAAAGGGGACGACATACGTTGAGACAACCGTAAACGCCAACTGAATTGAGCTCTTATGATCCTGGAAGTTGCGCTTGATGTGTTGGAGGTCATCCGAGCGTCTATCAAGCTTGAACTGAAGCACGCCCTGTCTTAGGCGGCCCGTAGCCCCTGAGATGTCGAGATCGTAGATGAAATTGCTGAGTCTTTGGGCCTCGCGCTCGCAGCTTTGAAGAGCTCGCTGGAGACATTCTAGCAAGTTGACCTGCGACGCGCCTTGTACTTCTTCCACCGCAGCGACGAAGCTCGGGGTGCTGAGAACGCGATGTATGTTGTCGATCAGGTCGCAAACAGCCTCTGAGTCGGCTCGGAGTTCATCAAGAGTCTGATGAATGCTGCCTCCGTTGGCGTACGCATCCTTCAACTGTTGAACTGCTGGACGGAGAATCTGTATGACCGTCAATGCGAGGCCAACGATGCTGATCGGGTCCGCCATCTGAGGCAATTGAGCATGAAAGATGACAAGGATTTGGTCAAGAAAGACATCAAGGCTACGTTTCAACAAAAGGTCTGGTGCACTACTTATCCTATGGTGCACAGCCCCGCAACCGAGCAACGCATCGAAACTGAATCCGTAGCCATGCGTCTCAAGCCCATTTTTAGGCATGGTATCAAGGAAGCCAGGCTGAGTTAGTCTATTGGTAAGGAATCAAACTTGACTGCAGATGTAAAGCGCTTCAACACTAGCGGCGGCAATGTTAAGAAGAAGGGGGCCGAGACCGAGTGGTAAGGAGGGCTGCTCGCGGAGGTGATTGCCCAAAGAATGCATCCTCTCTTCAGCTCTCTGACAAAAAGGCTTGCCAAGGGTTATCGAGACGGACATGCAGGAAGGCTACCGATAAGGGATTGGGGGCTGATGACAAGGCTGAACGAGAGCCGCCTTCTTGAGGGACAAACCCACCCCCTCACTGACTAGGTTTTTCCGCTCCAAGCGACAGCCTGAGTCTTCTCCATGCTTTCGCAATCAGGGCCTGCAAAGAATATAGGACCCAGTCAAATGGAATTTTCGGAGCACCTGTAAGCCGTTGGGTTAACGTTGACCTTTTGAGTACCTCCTGCGTACCTAAAGATGAGTCCTTTAGGATTTACACGTTACATACTGAACGGGATGGATTGATCAGTGTTTTTACATCGCAAGCCAAACTCAATGCGGGAGTCTTACATGTTCAGATGCATCAGGCCACCTCTGCGCTCGGCCTGGCAGTGGCGAGCAATTGCACGTGAAAGCTCCCGAGGTCCACATGATGTGTCGCGTAAGCAGCCACCAAAAGCAGGCCGTGGTATCAGGTAGGCTGTATAATGACCCGACTGCCCCGGAGGAGAAATAACGCATGCGAAACGTATTGGTACCATTGTACTACCTCAAAATTTCATCAACGCGATATCGTACAAGCCATGTCAAGGCAAAGATTGTATACATGCCATTCGTTCGTTCATCTCCCAGGGGTATTCAATTCTCCGCTTCTCATCGTATCGTAAGATTGCATATACACAGCAGCCGACAACATCACTCTCCTCCGGTCCATGGACACAACATCGGTATACGCGTCTTCTACAAGAAGTATTCTCCGCGACCTCCACGACCCGCGGGGACGGCGCGCTTATGATCTGGAACCGCAGAGAAGATTTGGAACTCGGGCTTGAGGTCCTCGCCTAGGTTCATGATGGAGGCGACGTTTCCGCAGCGGTAGCAGTAGTTGGGTGCGGACCAAACGGTGACAACGTCTTTGTCTTTGAAGTGGTATTTGTAGCCTTCGTTGACTAATTGATGGGCGCGTGCGATGAGTTGGAGACCGTTTACGTGGTTGAACTGCGACAGTCAGCGATGGGGTAATGGATGAGAGGAGATGGGCGCATACCTCTGAAGACACCTTGTCTCCGAATAGCCAGCCTGCTCCTCGGGGTGAGACAGCCCACGTGTCGACATCTTCGGGATCACTCCAGACGAGATCGCAGAAGGCTCCCTCGTGTGGAATCTCTTGGGCTCGCGCAACAACGCGGATCTGGTCTAGTGTTCTGATCTCCGGACTCAGACCGCCGTGTACGCAGAGCACCTTTCCGTCAACGATAGCGGCTAGGGCAAGGAAATCGAAGACTTGGCAGCAGGCCTTCCATACCGAAGCGTTGCCGTATTTGGTCTGACATTCCTCGTAGAAACCGTAGACTTGGGTGATTTGTCTCGACTCGTGGTTTCCGCGGACGAGAGTGACGCGGTCAGGGAATCTGTTTCAATCAGTACCATGAATGTAGTTCTGCGTGCCTGTTGACCTACTTCGCCTTCAAGCACATGAGAAGGGTAAAGGTCTCCAGACTGAAGTATCCTCGGTCGACAAAGTCACCCAAGAAGATGAAGTTCTGCTGGCCATTTCCACCGACTGTGTTCTTGGTAGAGTCTGCATCCGATGCCGAACCAAGACTCCGCCTGTCGTGAACGCTCCTGCTTCGGCCGCGTTCCTCCTCCTCTTCGTCGTCGCCCTCTTCATCGCCATCGCCGCCAGGAGGACTTGTTGGCCCAGTGTAGTTGGGATCGCGCTGGAATCTTCTCTTCATCTTGCGCTTGACCTTGGGGTCTGTTATGCTGGTAGGAGGCTCGAGATCGGCGGGGTTGATTGTGCTTGGTAATGTGACCGGTGGTGCGAGGGGCGCGGCAGGGGAGTCGTTGGGCATGCCGCCAGCGACACGGAAGAGCTCAAGGAGATCGTAGAATTGACCGTGGATGTCTCCGCATACTGTGACGGGTGTTCGTACGGGTTGGATGTTGGATTCTGGTCGATGTAGGTTAGTCTTGTATATGGTTATGAATACCATGCCACACAATAGCCATGCTTCTCCTCTCCTGCATAGACCATGCGGCATTGGTGAGACTCACCCTCCATCAGACATTCCTTGACAATCTCACATAGTCGCTTCATGTCGGCCTCGGGCAGGTACTTGCATTGCTTCGCCTGCTCCAGCCATTCATCCGGCCCTGCGCCCTTTGCGAGGCGCGCGGGTCCTGGCTGTGGTACGTCGCTATCTTTGCCCATATTTCAGTCGTGCTCTAGCTCAGAATGGATAGGGAAAGCTCGATGCGGTGCGTTTAGGTCGGGATAGGCGACAATGGCGGCGGGAGGGAGGCGGGTCGTGTGCCGATGGGGGTGCTGAGGGAAGCGCTATAGGGTATCATGGGTCAGCGTGGGTCGCAGTGAAAGTGTGCGCAGTCAGCGGCAATTGGCTGCGTCGTGGGCAGCTCGAGGTTCGGGTATTGAGGATATATCGGCGTGGTTGGAGGTGTAGTCGAGACGCGGGCGCCGGTGGGGCAGCTGCCGCCCCTCGGCGCTTGCCGTTGCGCCTGCCCTCGCCCACTGTCTCGTGAAGGCGCGCCTGTTGTCGCTGCGTCATTGCCGCAACTCTCACCAAAACAATCGCCGTGTCTGGTACTGCCTTCTCGAGTGGCCATTCAATGTCCTCATCTACGAACCGGCGCTCCCTCCTCCACCTCACCTCTGCCCAGCGACACGCGCGATAAATTCACCCGGCACAGGCTCTTGAATACGACTACAATCACGGTATATACTGTGTTTGTGTGTGATAAGCAACCTTCACTAACAGATAACTATAGAGAAGAAACATCTACTCGAGCATACCGACTGCACGCACAAACGAGCATCATCGCGCCCTCATGGCCCCTCCGAATAACCCAAACGGCGTCCTGCCAGTCACACTTCTCCAGAAGAACGCCCCGGCCCAGTCGCCCCGTGGACCCAAAGCAGCCCAACCCCGCCTGAAGCTGATATGTCGGCGACTTCCTCCTGGTCTTACCAAGACCGAGTTCATAGAGGCCCTAGGCGACGAGTGGAAGCTTGGTGCTGGCAAGATCGATTGGATGAATTACAGAAAGGGCAAGATTTCTACTGAGTACACCTCACCTTCCTGTCTTTTAGAGACAGCCTATTGACCCCCTCAGTGCCGCCAAACCCTCCAAGCCAGCGCGCGCATACATCCACGTTACCAAGCAGGACCACGTCAAGGCCCTCGGCGACCACGTGCGCGCCATTACCTTCCACGATGCCACCAAGTCATGGCAGGACCCCGCCCTCGTCGGCCCGCCTACGCTCGAATACGCTCCGTACCCGAAGATGCCTGGTGGCCGCCGTAGGAACGACAACCGCCAGGGCACCATTGATCAGGATCAGGAATTCAAGGACTTCCTCGAGAGCCTCACCAACCCAATCACCAAGCCCCCGGCCTCGGAGAATGAAGGTCAGAAGGAGAAGGTCAAAACCACTCCTCTGATTGAAGCGCTCCGGGAAAAGAAGGCTAACAGGGAGAAGCCGAGCGCAAAGGCAAATCGAGGTCGTGGAGAGGGCAAGGATGATGGTGAGAAGAAGATACTCGCCAAGCCAGGCAAAGAGAACGCCCTCAACTCAGGGGATAAGAATCGTCGTATAAGCAAGGCTGACAAGGCTCAAGCCTCCAAGGAGGCTGTCAAGATCCTTAACAAGGAAGCGTCATCCTCCAAATCATCTGCCTCGGCCTCGGCGGACAAGGCCTCTGCTAGCCCAGCACCGGAGCGCAAGCGTGGTAACGTCGCACTCGCAAAGTCGATGCTGCAGCGTGATCTCGGTGTAGGACCTGCCCCAACTCGTCGACGTGGAACGAAGCGCGAGGTTGGTACGCCTGCGCCCGAGTCCAATGCGCAAGCAAAGGAAACCAAGGCAGTCGAGGAAAAGGCCAAAGAGTCGCCTGCTTCACAACCAGCAACAGCAACTCCGGACAAGAATGCGCAGGCAAGCAGGAAGGAACGCCCGACTCGAGCAGAACGCCGCGCTTTCAAGGCCAATCAGGGCGACAAGCCCAACGACAAGGCTACTGCCAGCGATGTAAAGCCCCAGACGCCGCTGAAGACTCCTGCGCCGCAAATCTTGAAGAAGCCTCAGGCTCAGACTCCGACGGCTCCCAAGGGTCCAGCTGCCTCACGAGCTCCACCCACCGAGCCTGCCGCAGCCAGAAACAGCCCCGCTCCTACACAGTCGCACTCTACTCCAGCAAAGGCCGATGCGGGACCCGCCCAGGCGCACAACAATGCCCCCAAGGCAGCACCAGCTCAACCTGTGCCCGCACCCACGAGCAAGCAAGCGTTCCTGAAGCATGCCAATCCCAGCCAGGGCATTACCGAGCCCCTCATCGAAGAAGTCATGAAGACCTTTGGAGGTATTGACAAAGTCGAGATTGACAAGCGTAAGGGCTTCGCCTATGTCGACTTTTCCGAGCCGGATGGTCTCAAGAAAGCAATGGCCGCTAGCCCGATCAAGATTGCCCAAGGCGCTGTTCAGGTTCTTGAACGGAAGGAAAAGGTCGCCAGGGCTCCTCGTTTCAATGGTCCACCGACGGGGCCTGCTCGTGGCGGCGCTCGTGGCAACTTTGCACCTCGTGGAGGACGTGGTGGTCGTGGAGGTGCTAGAGGCGGCGCACATGCTGGTCCTGTTCCCGCTGCGGGTGCTGGCGATGCTGCTTCGACTATGCCAGCTACCGTTGCTCCTGCTCCAGCACCTGTCGCCAGTACCAGCACCGCTACGTGAACGAAACATGCATATTCACGTGTCAGAGACGAGACATCAGCATTTCGACGACATCCTAACGAATACGGGCGCCTTCTATACCGCAGTCCACACAACATAGATTGAGATGACATATCTCTGTGCTAGGTCTTCATCTTGCATAGCCTTACAATCATCGATATCGGAGACCTCAGCATATCGGATATGCACATGATGAGACATACGTTTGGTGCCACGGATCAGTTGACCAAGAGGCACGGCGATATGGTTTGGATGTATGCGATACCCCATCTACTACATGGATATGAGTACGAGGCGATGGGATGTACGTCGGGGGTCAGCATGACAGGAGGTTAGCGAAGTAGTAGATACATCAACAAGATGCATGTATCTATTCACTTGGTATTTCCTTCAACACTTATCCCGTGCAAGATGTAGAGAGTGGATAGAGTTAGATTAGACTGAAATAGACTAAAGATGTCCTTATTATTCCTACTCTCATACCCTGACAGTAAAAGAGTGTGGTAAAGAGAAATAGCGAGCTTTTGGTGCCGTGAGGCGCTTATCTTTGGTATATTGAGTAGGAAACAACGCGCGCGGTAATCAGAGGCTGAGCAATTTCGTGGCAACAGTGATGTTGTATAGACATGGTGGTGGGGTTGAGTCGCTTTGGGCAATAGGCAGATGCGAGAACGATAGCAGGGCAGAGCAGAGCAGAGCAGAGCAGAGCAGCAAAGGACAGACGTAGCAGGCCAGGGTAAGCAAGAAAGCGCAATCATGAAGCATGTACATTAACGTTGAAGATGAAAGATTTCCAGCTCTTTTCCCCATGTACCATAAACCACAGACCCGTCAATCCGCCTAATGCGAATTCTCTCTCCCTTTATCCTCATCCTCCGAATGCAATGCTAATACCCGCCCGCCTTGTTCAAAACACAAAACACAAAATGCCAAAGCTAACTACATACAAAAAAAAGGGTATCGACATAATCCGCCGCGAAGCGTTAGTGGGAAAAGATAAGGTAGTTTTCCCAGATCCAGGTCTTTGGCTTGAAGATACAAAACATGTGTGGACAACAAGATAAACTGAACTGCAACCCAACTCGCTAAATGATACTACGGGAACAATAAAGGCAAGGATAAAAAGAGCAATGCGGTAATGACACGCTTGATGATGGTAAAAGATGCCAAAGGAGGTGGTGGAGAAGTAGATGTTGTTATCAACGGTCAAGGTTGCCAGGGAGAGTGTTGAAGATGCAAAGGTTTGTCGTTATAGTAGGCCGTCTCAGTTGTACATGGTATATGAGGAAAAGGGTGATGAAGGCCTAAGAGCCTAGATCATAGGTGTGTTCTCGCCGCCCTGGTATACACCAGCTTGAAGGGTGTTGGGAGGCATGTTGGCGCGGAGCTCCTTGGGGTTCCTGTAGAAAGGCTGACCGTTTTCCGGAGGAATGACCTGCTCCATGGGTTGGGGCATCGGCGGTGGCGGCGGAGGCGGAGGAGGAACCTGGTTGAAGTAGGAGTCGTGGTGGTTGCCCGAGTCGCCAGGAGGGGATCTCGTGTTTGGTCCGCGGGGGAAGGAGAACTCTGGTACGCTCTCGTAGGGGGATCGCTCAGCGCGGGTCATAGTGATAGGTGGGGACTTGGCGCGCTGAGGCCCACGGCTGGTGCTACGCATGCGTTCAGTTACGCGCTTGAATGTCATACCCAGGTTTTCGCTCACACTGCCGCGTCCCCGACGGTGTGCATGTGGGGAGCCTGTAGCGGAAGGGTTGGTAGGTGACACTTCCATGGGCTTTTCGCCGGGACTGTTGCTATCGATAGCAATGTTAATCATACCGATGCCGTTGTGACCGCCAAGGTTTAGCGGTGGTGGTGGCGGAGGCGGTGGGGTTGCTAGATGCTGGAGCTGAGATAGCAGAGGAGGGGCCCTGTCTTCTTCCTGGTCGATGATGATGACTTGGTTGTGGTTTTGATTCTCATGGATTGTCTCGGCGATGCTCGCAGTGATGGGCGGTGGGCTATGGCGCTTGTAGTTGGTCTGAGGCAGGACATCGGGCATCGTGTTCTGGCGAGAGTGACCGCGAGATCCACCTACAGAGGGGCGTCTGCCCATCGGGAAGGTAGGCGAGTTGTAGGTGCTGGATGGAAGGATGTCCTGCGGAGGCGCTGACATGGACCTTGGAGGTGCAGTAGGCTGACCAAAAGTGGTTGCTGGCAGTAGAGGCCCAATGTCGTCTGTTTCTCCGGAGTGCGAGTCTTGAAATTGCATGTTGTCCGGGATACTTGGCACTGCTGGGATGTCATCCTCATCATTTGGGTCAGCAGTCATGTATCTAGGATGACGCATGGCACGAGGATTGGCTGGAAGACCAATTGGTACAGATGTCGTCGATGTTGGTCCTGCGCCACCGATTCTCTTGGTCATCTCCGGGTCCGCTGTTTGGCTTCTCGTAATTGGATCGCGATACATCGACATTGAGTTTAGCATGTCATCAGTGTTCGACCGCTCGTGGGACACTGGTCGGAATGCGAGATCTCCAGGATGGGGAATGACTGGAGCGGATGGCCGGCGAGCCAAAGACAGTCTACGCTCTTCCAACTCACGAGCGGCCAGGGCCCTCCTTGACAACGTGGTAGGGCGCATGCGCGGCGCACCTGAACGTCCTGAAGTCAAGGAATCAGGAGAAGCATCGCGGCCGTAACCTCGTGTACGGCTAGATTCCCTCAGGAATGGCGTGGGCTTCCGGCTCACGGATCGGTCTCGTGGCGCGCGGCGCTCTTCGGAGGCTTCTCGACGACTGCTCATAGCACTGTCAGAAGGCCGGCGGCTACTGCTGCGGTGTCGCTGGCGAGGGGGCTCATATCCAGCAAATCCTTCATCATCGTCGCGCTGCATGGGTTGAGGAGAGACGGGAGAGTGTTCTCCGCGCTGAGCGCTTCGTCCGCGACCATCGACTGGACGGCGACTTGATGCGCGGCTAGCGCCTCTGCTTCGGGCCCGTACGGCACCTTCAGGAGACTCAGTGCGGCGAGTAGCTGCCTTGGACGAAGATCTTGTCTTGCTGACTCCCTGTCGTGCCCGGCTGCGTGCAGTGCGGGTGCTGGCAACAGATTCTGTGACAGCCGGAGAAGCAATGCTCATCTTGTAGAACCTCTCATCATCGAAATCTTCCGTGCTAGTTCCCATTTCCTTCTTTTGTGAAGAGTAGATACCTGCGTCTTCAGGAGACATTGGCACAGGTGAGGACGGGGAACGCTTTCCTTGACGAATGTAACGAACACCTGATCGTCCGCGGTTTTGTGACTCCTCACGAGTGCGACTACGGGTACGTGCAGTGCGCGAAGCTGGCCTCTCCTCGTTTCTGGAGTTGGCGCGGTTCTGAGAATAGTGGTTTGCTTCTTCCAGACTGCTGATGTACTGATCAATGCTGCGTGCCTTAGCGCTCTTGATGCTTGCGCCGGTGAGAGGTGGACTGAGTCTGCTGTTGCTGTAGCCTGTCTCTGGGCCTGTTTCAACTACAGCGTCCGGCATGTCAAGGTGAAGCTCTTGAATGTTACGACTGCGTGAGCTGCCGCGAGACTCGGCACGTTTCTTCTCGAGAACATCGAACACTCCAGCTGCTGGGGAAGGTAGGTGATCGCTCGATTTGCCCGGGTTGAAAGTCGCTGCGGAAAGGACGAAATCTTTGGAACCACTTGTTGCTCGGCGTGTCGAGAATGGTAAGGTCTCCGCTTCGCGGCCGATATTGTCAATGGCAGTTCTGGGATGAGATTCGTTACGCTGACCTCGATCCGGGATGGCCAACGATGCAAGAACTTCGTTGTTGGTAGTCTTGCGACCAGCGTCAGATCGCGAAGGGAAACGCTTCCTGCTGTATGAACCTGGTGTGGCAGTTCGTGCCGATGACGGCTCCCTAGAGGCATCACGTGCAGCACGACCGAGCCAACCACCATGGCCTACAGCTGGGCTGATAGCTGATTCTGCGATAGGCGTCACACCGGCGTTCATGGGTGTCTTTTCGTCCTCTTCTCGGACGATCTGCCTGGGTTGAGGTCCGCGCGTGAAGTCCGTGACGAGCTTGAGTGAGGCCATCCTGGCCGCGACTCGGCTACTGCCAACACTGCCACTAGGAGGCGACAGAGGGGGGCTCATCTGTGAGCCAAGAAGCGCTTGCTTCTGCGCAGAGAAAACGGCGTCCTGCGCACGTGGTGAGAACCAAGGCTCCGTGGTTTCGAGACCCATGCAAGAGAAACATCGCACGGCCAACTCCGCTCTGCCGTGTTGAACTGCATGCTCTCCCCATTTGCGGACTAGGAAAGATTGCCTCTGCCAGTCAGTTGGGAATGTCAAGCATGTTAGCAGAATGGCCTCCATGTAATATTTCCGAGACACGTAGACCTCGATGGCATCGTTGTATTCACCCAGTCCGAGGAAGATGGCCACGGCGGGGTGGATGTCGCCCTTCTCCAGGAGACGCTGAACGAAGGCTTCACCGACCTTCTTTTGCGAGCCCTGACCCATGTTGCTCAAAGCCAGCAACATCCAGTCAGACGAAGTCATTGACTCAGAACCGACCATGGAAGCCATGAGATCAGCGCCGAGGTCACCAAGCCATTTCGAAAGAAGGACAGCAGCGGCCGAACCGGGAGAATGACGTGCTAGTTCGTCCTGTACTAGATCCTCGATGTCCTGGTCCCAACCAAACACGACCTTGAGCATGTTGAGTCGAAGATCGTCTGGAGTGCGATCTGGCCCAAGATCCGTGGGGCGGAAAGGTACGTCACTCAGCCTCATTTTGGTGAATGGGAAGAGATCCATGTGTTGGTTCTTCTTGGATTCTTCTGGGCTTCGGAGGACCTCCTTGCGCAGAGCTGATGAGCCGTACCGGGAAGATGATGCAGCTGATGATATTGATCGAATGGAAACGCTTTCACGTGTTGAGGTGCCAGCAAGGGACGATGTGCCAGACGAGAAAATGGTACCAGAGCCGTTCGAGCTCTTCGACCTGGTGGACCTTTGCGACGCTGAGCCATGCGATGGTCTGTCGTATCGGTAACGGGGAGCCCGGCCGCTGCCAGATGATCGGGAGCTCTGGGAGCCCCGGCTGGATACAGGACTGAGGGGACCAACACGATCGCGGCGCTCCTCTTCTAGCTGGTCCATTTCTTGGGCAATCTTCTGCAGCGGTGACATGGCGACACCCTCGTCGGCACTACTTTCTGAGTCGGCAAGCATTAGTGGGAGCGACTTCGATGGGAGAGCAGTAAGTGGTGTCTCCATCTGCTTTTGCTGTTCGTCTAGGGAGCTTGGTGGAGATGGGGGCGTGTTGGCAGGCGCATGCTGAACGTTAGCGACCATGGTGGCTGGTCCGTTGCTGGGGTTGATGTCGTATTGTTGAATACTCGAGTTGCGTCCAATGGTGAAGAGGGTGGCAGTAGGACCGTAGTTGCAGATCGCAGCGATGCCATCGGTTGTTGGCACAGTTTCGTATGACACTCTCTTGGTACGGACATCCCATGCGCAGGTTTGACTATATATCACGTGTTAGCGCGGAGGACGAATTGACAGCGCATGCCGAGATACGTACCCTTCGGTGTACTGTATGATCCTGCCGTTCTTTGACCAGGCAAACCAGCAAGGTCCGGGCTCTCTCTGTTCCTTTTGGTTGAGCACACGGATTACACATGGGGCGTCACTGCCGTGCTGGGCCTTAGGCACACTCCATACTCGGAGGTCACCGTCTGATGTTTGGGCCGCCAACATCTCGGACTTTTGCTTTGACGAAGAGCCATGCCAGGCAAGACCTGCAATAGGCGAAGGGTTTCTTGGGGTGGTGAGAGTGTGCAGGATGGTGAAGGATGGCTGCAGGGTGGCGATGAGGATTGAGCCATTGAGATACCTGGACGTGTTAGCATTGATGCCCAATTCACTGGATGTCCCTTGTACGCACCCAATGGCGAATGTTCTGCAGTCTGAAGCTGGTGCGAGTGCGGTGATGGGGTCGAAGATGGTTCTGGCAGAGAGGTGTTCGGATGTGGAAGGCTCGAACAGGATGATGTTGCCCTGCGCGTTCCCTATGCACATGTTAGCACCCGAACAGGCAATGGCGACTGCCCGACTCCGTCACTCACCAAAAGCAACGTTTCCGTTTCTCATCCACGTCGCGACGCGAATCTGCTCATACGACGCAAATCTCGCCACCTCGTCGCCCGTGAACAGGTCCCACACAATTGCAGTCGAGCCGGCGTCGTACGAGACGACTAACCGGCCTGCACCTCTTTCGCTTGTTGTGTCGACTGATATCCACGATACATCTTCCCGGTGCCTATCAAAGCGGCGCTCTATCGCCAGTGTGTCGTGGTGGAGGACCAGTATTACGTTGCGTTGCGCATAGAGCAGGAAGGAGCCTGTTGCCGCACAGGGCTCGAATGCGAACTCATCTTGGCCCGGCGTCGGGGGTTTGAGCTTGACGTCTGTGGACCGAACCGAGTTGCTTTTGATGGAATTGGAATTCGCGCGCTGTCTTAGTCCAGTCGACATGGTGAGGGCTGGATCTATGGGTGGTCGTCAGTCGGGTCAGGTCCGCAAGGGCCCGCGAAGCGCATAACGTTGAAGACGATGGCGATTTGGGATAACGGGAGTACAATCAGGAGCTTGCACAAGAGCGAGTGTGAAACTGCAAGACGTCAGGGGAATCCAACTCACTGCAGAGAGCAAGAGCGCGCTAAACAGCAATGCGCTGACAGCTCCACGGCGTCTGGAGGAGGGTACCCTTTGGCCCCGCCCCGGTCTCTACAGGGATCAAAGTTGAGGCGGTTAAACAGAACTTGGGTACCGCTTTCGTCTTATGCGGCGGTACAACAACGTGCAGCTGAAGAGACAGACAAGCAAGCAAGCAGCGAGAAGGTAGAGAAAAAGCGACAACAGCGCAGGCGATGTGTGAGTTGAAGCGCGTGGACGCCCGCCTATCACTAACGGCGCTTAGAGCTCCAAAGCCCGACTGATACTCGCTCGAAATAGTACGAATGGCATCGGTTGGTGCCGTCCAGCCAACGAGCAGCATACCCGGCAGCAAAAGGCGTTAACGGGCTGGGGTTGCGCAGCCTCATTCGCTCGCCAGCTGTGAAAGGTCGACATTGGACCTTCGGGGACTCGACGAACGAAGCAGACGCATGCTGCCATCCTGGAAGCCAAGTTGGTGACACCGCACGTTAATGGTTAGGTTCGCGCCGGCGTGCCTGCGTGGGTTTACAGACCAGCCTCTCAGAGGGCTGGACGGCACAGGGACGAAGACGCGGAAGACTGGGGTCGACAGAGTACACGAGATGGCCGCCCTCATTGGCCAGCACATGTGCCTACCGCACAATCATCACACTTTCGCGCTCGAAACCAGCGTATCAGATCGCGGTGCGGCCGCCTTGGACCGGCCCGTAAAGGATGATCCCTACGTGCTCAAATATGCGACATGCCTCGTCGACTCGATGCATATAACGACTCTCTGTTCTCGACGCTGCCATGACTCTTCTCAAAGTACGGTGACGGTAGCGCCATCACGACATGTTCACAATTTTCTCTCCTGCCGCTTGGCCAGCCGTTCGCATACTGCGCGGCCTTGACCGTGGCAGCTAGCGCATCGTGCCCAAGCTTTTTGCGCAACGCGCTCAACCCGCAACGCTCGGGAGCGGATATGTAAGTTGGTGGCACAAAGGTCACGGTCCCTGAACGACTATCCTGCACAAGCCATGGCCCGTCCCGGAAGAAACATCAACACCTCGCGCATGACGTGCGAGACCCCAGGAGATGGTAGTTCCGACTTCACATTCAAACCCAGCCGCTTGTATCGCGGGGGCATGGTAACGTCTTGCAATCCATGCCCGACTAATGTGTTGATACATACATATACGGCCCAGGAACCACCACCCTCTGTCGTTGAACCAAGCACAAAGCATAACGTGCCGCTGCAGAGGCAGGACACACAGAAGCACACGTCGCTAACCAAGCACAATCGATCTACTCCCGCCCCGTCAGCTTCAAGCAAGTCAAAGCTCCGCCGATCTGGCATGCGAGCGTCGTTCCCCGGTCGTGATATATGCATGCCAGTTCATAGTGGCTACAAAACCCTCGTGTTTCCTCTCGGCATGAAGAAACAATTTAGCAAAGCTGCTTCAGGCCGTGTCATTAGCTCTCAACAGCGTCTTACACCGTTCGAGCTATACCCAACGGTATCGCAGAAACGGGGGTGGGTGTCATGAAGTTGGGCACACATTGCCTTAGTTCCGTGATGAATTATTCACACTCCTTTCCGCTTCAAGGCTTGCTGCAAGCGAAGCGCCCGACTAAGGATCTTCATCCCGGACTTCTCTACACCGTCTACCAGCCACACGCATTTCGCCCCTCTTTTTGAATGTACTGTGTACTCTGCCCCACGGCATTCGCAAGACTACAGCGGGGGACGCAAAATTACAGAATTGTCTCGCACAAATCGCGTGTCGTCCCTGGACAGCTTGCGTGCGGACTAATTTAGGTGAGGCAAGCATGCAGCTTATCAGCACTGCAGGTCCAGCCAGACTGTATGGTGATACAGCATGACCGATATGCGGATCCGTGCAAGAGAAGAATGTTCGTCCAGTACCGATGGATCCCGCGAGATTTTGAAGTAAAGCTTAATTTAGGACATCTTCGCGATATATGGGAAATATTGACGATGAGGAAGGGAAGGATTCTCAGGCGTGATTCAAGGGAGCGCATAGTAAGGGATTGCCGAAATGGGACGGTAGGGCCTCCCAGCGACAACATTATACTTAGCATGCGAGACTCTGCAAAGTGACGTTGCGTGTACAGCGCCCAACTGGTCGTTCAGCAATTTGCTTTTTCGTTCGCGACTCGAGCACACATAGGAGAGGGAAAGCGATATTCCACCACGGATTCGGGTTCGCTGCATCATGCAGAAGAAACATGGTAGAACTACCGAAGCCCGCTCTGGGAGCGCCACACATCTCAACAATCACACACCAAAATTCAGCTAACGAAGCCCATCACATCCCCATCACATCGCTATCCTATTTCAGGGCGGGCATCACGAAAAGCGCAATCTATGTGAACAGGGTAAGGATATGTTTCTTGTTGTCAAGGTAAGACGAGCAGTAAAATTCAAATGGGGTATCTATCTAAACGATGGCTGAATGGTGGGGGTATCAATAAAGGAAAAACAGGCGAGAGAGCTTATCAGCCACAATAATCCTCGCTCCTTTTGCGCACACAAGCGCGCATACATATTTCGCATTCCGATTTGCGGAAGCGGGGGGTATCGAGAGAAAGAAAGGCCAGGTCTGGCAAAAAACGCCGCAGAACCTGCAAATGTGAAGATCCGTCACAATATCGCTCCTCCAATGCGATTCTTCTGTCGCTCTCCAAAGGTGTTTGGAGTTCCTCCTCTTTCTGCGTGATCGCCAGGATCGGCGCAAGAACGCGGTCCAGACGTTTGCGCACACAAACGACGCTGGACGATGCAAGTGATGAGTGCGCGACCCCAGGGCCGTCTGTCGTGTGTGGTGGACAGCGACGGTGGGGGCGTCCACGTTCACACCGTTGGCAAGCAACAGTGTGACTGGGGCTGACATGTGGGAGAGGGGAAGGTTGCATCCACCAGCTCCTGTAACATGTCGCGGTGTTTGAAGTAAGATGCAAGAACACATGCCATGTCAGATGGCTGAGGCGCGACACGCGGCAAACTCAGGTCCCGGTGAGGGATGCTGAGTGAGGCTGACTGTGGCAACTGACTGACTGCGAGCTCATGTGACTCACTCAGCCATGCCAGCGCGCTGCTGACGGGAGCCAACGCGCGCGCCTACAATGGTGACGTCGATGTTGTCAAGATAAGTTCTGATAACGCCGTTAGTCCTGCGACGCGATTCGATGCATGCGATTTAGACTTACAATAACACGAATGCTATCGGACAACGCTTGCTCATTCAACCTGCTCTGGTGACTCGGAGATGGGAGTCATGGGCTTGGAAGTGCGACGCTGCTTGCCACTGCTGCGGCGGCGCTCGCTCTTGGGCTTCTTGGGCGCGTACAGTGGTGGCAAGACGGGGAGTGCTGTCGCCATGGGGTACTGGCGCGGTGGAGCGGGCGCCTTGTCGAGGAACGGGCAGGCAAAGTCGTCGTCAAAGTCCTCACCAAAGAGGTCTGCGTCGCTGATGTAGGATGAGGGTGCGCTGCGGTGGTCCAGCGATGGGCCCGTAGGCCATGATGGGTAAGCACATGTTGAGCCGCGGGATGATGAAGAGCTGGTAGAGTAGTTGCTGTACAGCGACGATGTTGGTGAAGCCATGTTCCTGGGCGAGATGCTAATAGGCATCGACTTGGATGGCGAGGAGGATGGTGAGGAGCCTGGAGAGGATTCGAAGTGCATGGTGGTGAGGATGTTGGTGGTGAGGGTGAATATTGGTATGTGTATAGCGTACGGGGTGGGTCGCTATTGTATATACACACTTGCGGGCACTTTCGGCACTACAAGATTGCAGTGTGTTTTCGTGGTTTTTTCGTCAGTCTAGTGTCGCGGCAACTGGACCGAGGTGCAGGGGCGGTTGATGATGTATGACGCCGATGTGGGTTTGGGGGCAGGTGGAAAAACAGGGTTGCGGGTGCTACTCCGGTAGCGTCGGGCTGCGTCTCGGAAAGCGATGTGGGAGATTTGCGATCTTGGATCTAGCGATGCGACGGTGGGTGGGCGTTCGGGGGGCTCGATTAAATAAAAGCCACGGGGTTGCGCTGGTCAGGCGTTCGAGTCAGGCAGAAGCAATGGTCGTGTGTGAGTGTGTGTCTCGAATGAAGATCAGATGAAGGCCTGGCCGTGGGGAGGGTTCCATATATCCTCCGCCGTAAACAATCAACTCTCCACGCCTCGCTCCGGTCCGCATGAAACGCTTTTATTTGGCGCTTTATGATTTGCCTTTTGTTATGTGTCGGTGAGCGACCGCTCTTTGGAGGGGGTGCACTGTGGTTGGCGGAGCTTCCACGCAGCTCAGACCGCCCCTTCACAAAGGCTGCCATTTCTGGCTACCGCAGCCGTCAGCCCCGTATGCTCCGCTGCGCCTGTGAGTCCATCCCGGCTGTCGGGGCATGAAGACCGTGACATGGCAGCCCATCCTTCGCCCTATCGCCTGGCCATCGCTTGTCTGCGCTTGTCTATCGCTGGCCCTATCGACGTGCGCACATGCAAGATGCAACGATGACTCGTCCAGCAGGCAGAGTCTGCTGCCTGCTAAACACTCCAAACCTGCCTCGTCACCTAGACAATGCTCTAGAAACCTGGCTTGTTTAATCATCGACGCACGCCATCCAGAAAAAGACCTGAACAAGGGATGTGACAGTGACAGCGGTTACACACCCCACGACTCAATTCGCGCCACGCCCGTCTCCGCGAGGATAAGATTCATCGCATGCCCAGATGCAGTAAGCTTAGTGTCAGAGGATCATCTCGGGGATGGCATAGGGAGACCCTAGCTGCCCTCCCCACGCTTTCATCCGGCGGCTTC